TTCCGGCATCTTCAGAGGTGAAGAACGAAAGTTCAAGTGCCTATCGTTATTAAAAAAAAAATACAAGTGCAAAGGCAAGTTAACTCGTCATCGGTTAACAACGTGTAAAAATTAGTATTTATCAACTTATATATATTATATTCGATCGCATAAGGGGAAAAAATAATTATCAACAAATGGCGCCAATAACTGATTAATTTGGGACCCCAAATGTGTAGACCTAATTTTTGCGAAGGATTTTAAAAAAGAACATTACAGAACAACATGTATTTTCACAACCCCTCAAGAAACAAGTATTTTAAAATCGTAAAATAGATTCCAGTGTCTACTCTATTAAGTAGCTTTTCATTAAGTTTACTTGTTCACAACATTTTGAAAAATATTTAAATACTGAATTAAGTTACAATAACACATAAAACACTAATTTCCTGATTTTATCGAATTTCGATGACTTTAGTAGCCATTGTATTGATATTTAAGTTATTTACCTTATTCTTAAACATAAAATACACTTATACTCATATAAAGAACAAATGTTAAGCGTACTTGCTTTGCCATTAGAGTTAGAAAATAAACAATTATTACAAGACTAGTTCTTTTGGAAAAAATATCAGGTTTCAAACCATCTTCAAGTAATTCATAATGATTTTTCCTGAAATTATAGGTTGAATTCCCTGATTGATAAAAATTTACTATTTTCTTATTCTTGTCTTGTAGCTATCCAGAATAAAAAGAGCAGATTAGTTTTAAATTTTAAACATAAGTTTCGTATTGTAATTGCAATAATTGTTTACAACTTTACAATAAAACAATAACTGTAATTATGCAACTCAAGATAAGTAAAATAAACTATTTACACTTCTCCCCCCTCATCAAAGTGTAATAATAATATGCAATTCAAAATTAATACTATTTCAATGTTTTTTCAAAACTGAACACATAAAATTGATACATTTACATAGTTTAAAATAATATACACATCTTTTTTCACAATACTGTGAGGCCCAGTTATATGTGACCATCTTAAAATAATAGCATAACTTTTTTTCCCCTAATGAAAAGAAAATCTTATTTTTGGTTTTATTGTAGGTAATTTATGTGCTGCATTTTGAACATTTCCGTATGCAGCATAAAAAATTTATATATTAGCCCAATTTTAAATAAAAAAATATTATCATTAAATGAATAAATAAATAATTACTTAAATAAATTTATATTACAAATGTAAATTAGTGAATGGCTGTAATATATTTTTATAAAAATTTGTTTCTTAATTCAGCACTTCTATAATGAAATAATTAAAAAAATTTAAATACTTTTAAAATGTAAATATAATGAGTATTGAAGCTGAACATTTTTGTCAGCAGTAAATTATTATACGGTTCCTAAACTCATAACATTTAACAAATCTGAAATTATTGAATTTTTTTATTTCAATTGATTTTAAATCAAATCATTAAGAGAATGACAAAAGATTTTTTGCTGCATTTAAAAGAGTGAAAGCACCTCACTTCATACTTTTTTAAAGTCTTGCCTCTAAATATAATTGAGTTTATTCATAAAACAAATTAAGAGCACTGAAAATTTAAAAAATAATAATACAATAATAAAAAATAATAAGTAATACACTACAATAAAGTAATTCTTGACTGCTCCGGAAACCCACATGAAAATACATAATTAGTGAATAATCCCCAAGTCAAGATTAAGGATTATGGTGCTGATCTATAAATAGAAGAGCGCAAGAAGGCGATTAGCTTGACGAAGACGATGGCGCTACACCAATGATGAAATTAAAAGTAATAAAATTTTCTATTGCTATTAGAGAAAAACAATTGGGCAATGTTTAGTTGGTCCCCGAGATCAGCAAAATTGTGAGAGATTTTTCGGTTCGATTTCAGAGGGCGAAAAATGAAGCCTGAAAATGAGAATCTGTTGCAAAATTGCAGCAATGTAACACATGAGAGTGTAAAAAATCCTTCAAACTGAATCCAGCTCAGTATATGCAAATGCGGACCTGCAAGTATTTCATCAAACATGTAAAGTGATAGGCGCTTTCATACGCTACGGTCCGAAGTTACACAGAAATGGATTGTGGTTGAATGAATTGTGAAGACCTAGATGCGAAAATAAGGCTTTTTACATATTTCATGGCCAAACTCGACAAGGTAGAGATAAAATATTTCCTCCTGAATCTTTTAAATGTAGCACAAAACATAGATACATGTTTGAAGTTTAAGAAATACCAATTAAAGTTAGTAAGTTGAGTTTGGAAGTTATGCAGTTAAATGAAGTGTTTCAGCAAATGCTAAGTAATAAAAAGTAATTTTATAATATTAAAAAACTATATATGCATACTTTAAAATTAACGTAATTCATGAGTTTACTTAGTTAAAAGTAAATTCCAATAAAAAGTTTTTATATTGTTTAAAACTACATAATTTAAGACAATTTTAGTTATTTCCCAGCCTGAAATATTTTTTATCATTATTAAATTAATTAAAGAAAAAATAATTATAAAAACTGTTTTTTTTCCATGCCCCATTTTCAGAAGAAAAAAAAAATCAATTTATGCCAATAATAATTTTTAATTTTTTTATGATTATTTATAACTACAAAAAATTTAACATTTATTTTGCATACTGTACAGTACAATATAATCTTCATAATATTTTTTTTTTTTTTAAAAAAAGCGTAGAAAGAAATGCATTTATAGTATTTTAAATTTACTGATGTTAATTTACACTTTATTGCATTTATAAATTTTGAATAATGTAATGTACAAGTAATATATCACATAAAATACTTATTTTTAATGCCCCATATCTCAGCGATTAAGTTGATCCCTTGTTTCTGGTTAAATGACATCAAATTTCTAGCACAATGGGGGTAAAACTCGACCACTTAAAAAAATAATTATAAAAATTTCTAAAATTAAAAAAACGTTAAAAAAATTTCTTAAATTTCCCAAAGTTAAAAATTTTGAAATACTCTTAATTAATTTATCTTAACTTTTTGTATTCTTAATTTTTTTCTGAAAGTAATTTAAAGCACTGTTTTTAAATATAAAAATATACATGCAAAAAAACAAATGCAATATTATTTAAAAATAATAGATTAAAAAAGTTTTTGAAAGGGATAAATAGATTGCATCATATCGCATATTGCTCAGGATTTATATTGTATCAATATTTCACGATCAAAGACATTATTACCAAAGTATAAGTCGAACCGTTCATTTTCAAAGCACTTTTGGGGTTTGAAAAGTTGACTGATGCACCTGAGTATACAGTAATTAATATAAAAAAGAAAAATGATAAAATAACGTAAGAAGCATAACATATTACATAACAAATAAATGATTGATACCCATGTACAGTATAAACCAATAAATTCAATTAAGTAAATTTGATGAATTGATGTGTTTTTTTTTTCAGATCATTTAAATGTAAATAAAAAGTATATAAAAAATTCATTGACATAACAAATAATTTTCCATAAAACAAATGCAATATATCCGAAAACAAATGGCATTATATTTAGAAAATTAAGAAAATGCAAAATATAAAACTACCATAATAATAGAAACTCTATTTTTAAATAATAATAAAGCAACATATTATTTCTTCACAAATTAAATTCATAGATATAAATGCTTCTGAATGTAAAGATAATTAATTTTGCATATTTACAAAGCTAGTTCATAAAAAATGTATTTCACAAATGATAAAAACATCCCTCATCATCAATATCATATTATTACTAACGGGTAAATAAATAATGCTAACAATAATCTCAAAACAAATTGGAAATTTTTTTTTAAGAAAATTCAAAACAAAACTAAAATCACAAATATTGATTTAAAAATTATTATTCACAAATATTAACTAAAAAATTATTATTCATTAAGTAACAAAACATTTCACTAAACAAATTTTACATTCCTTTACAATATAAAGGAATATGTAACCTTATTAAATACTAAGTAACCATCATTAAAATCCTAAATGTTATTTCAAAAGAAATTTATTTGCACAATACTTGGTTTAATCTTCAAGAAATCCCATCAAACTAACGTCATGAATATCATAACTTTAATCCAAATACAAACTTACTTTTAAAAAATACTTCATTTGATTTTTATGAGACATTATAAAGTCCATCTCATAAAAATCACAATTTTTATCAAGATTAGTTATCAAGTCACTTGATAAGTAATTTTTATCAAGTGAAAAGAAAACTTTTTTTTTACGTAACCTGATCCACAGAGACATTCAAACCAGGAGAAATGATAGAATACATACATAATAAAGAATGAGAATTAAAATGTTGTCCTATGCAGCTAGGGTAATTTCCTTACTAAAAACTGGCTTTTTGCGCACAATGAAACTTTTATTTATCTAAATTATCTTAATTCAATCTTATATTTTTTAAACAATTGTTATCAAAAATTGCATTATCTAGAAATACCGATTTTAAAATAGTTTAAGTTTATTGAATCGTAGTTAAATGATTTATATTTGTAGTATTGATTGCTATTTCATCATAGTTATGTAACAACCAGATCTAAACAATTTGGTTTCCAAATAGTACAGGGTGTCTAGCTAGATTTTTCAACAAAAAATAAGGACCATTTAAGTACTTTTTAAGCACTTGAATATTTTTAATCACTTTCCAAAAAACAGAAAAATCATAATTATGATTTGTGCAGTAATAAAAGTTACTTTTTTCTATCGTTTAATTTAGAAACATAAAATCAATAAAATTCAAAAACATTTTTAAAAAGTTTACTTAGATAATCATGATAAAAAAACTAGCTTCCGACAAATATTACAGAGAAAATTCTGAAAATCATGAATTTTTGTAATTCAGAACAACAATTGTCACAGCAAAGAAAAAAATATATCTTTTTAAAAGATAGAAAATTAAGCACTTTTTACAATCCCTGAATAAAAAAAAACACCTTTAAGGGCTTTTAAGCTTTTTTTAAAAACGCTATGCACCCTGTAGCAAATGATGATAAAAAAAGCTATTTCTGGGCCTGATAAATATATTAAACAATGAAAAAATTTTCTGAAATTAAACAACATAGAACAAGCAAAGCAAAGAAATTGGTTAAACACTATTTGTTTAAAATATTTTCAAATAAAAAAAGAACAGGAATTGGTACTCCAATTAGGCATCTTTAATACAATCACACTCATCGAAATCTTTGACATCAAGCTAATTTAAACATTGAACTTTTCATAATGTAATTATATTTACCTTTTAATTCCAAATAAAACATAAATTATTTAAAATAATTTTTTTGACAAACATTTTAATTACAAGAATTGAACATAATAACTAGATATTTTGCAATGAGAGATAGAACATAAATATAAAATTAATTATTGAAGGTTTAAATAAGATACTTATAAACAAATCTTATGCGAAATTAATGCCTTTAATAATAAAATCTAATAAAAATGATTTTTAATTGTTTTACTAATCACAATAAATTTATAAAAAAGAATACAAAAACACGAAATAAAAAAAAAATATTGATAGAATTAAAAGGAGACATATTTCTAGGTTTCCGTAAAGAAGTACTATAGTTGAGTAAAAAATAAATATATATCTCATTCATAATAATCTGCTCCACCAAATTGTATTGAGAGCTATCACAGATGCAATTTAAGTTACTTAAGCCTTAATGTTATAAAAATCATTCCAGATGAAACTTAAGGTATCTCATCATCTAATTTACATTCAGTAAGAGATTCAGAATCGGCCAAGAATGAATGCTGATAGGATGATGGTGATTGGTCAACAGAGATGGACTCACATGGTTCATCTGTTACATCTAAAACCAAAAGAGAAAGAATTATTCATTCATCCTATCAACATTCATCTCAAGTCAAAATTTTTGATGGTTTTCCATTGATGGACCAACATAATCTTGATGGTAACCATCAATGATTCCATCATGAACCATTACATTCTTTGATAGTAACCAACATAAGTAACCATCACCACAATGTCGAAATTCGGACTGATTAATGATGGTCCAACTTGTTTTGATGGTTTGTTCATGTTGAAACTGAACCAACAAGAGAGCCAACAAGAGAACCAACAAGAATTCCCAATAAACCATCATAAAAATGTATAGTTGGAACCATCATGGATTGTTGAATCATCACGTATGAGAGTCAAACTTTTCTTGATGGTTAACGATCATAGTATTAAAGTAGAATTTACCATCATGGAATGATGAAAGTTTGTTGGCATATCAAAAACCAATGGAAAATGCTGGATGATGGTGACTATCAAATGATTATGGACATCAGATGATGCTGATAAACCACACTAAAATCAACATAAGCCATCAAAATGTTTTGATGGGACCATCAAGAATTTTGACTTGGGTGTAAAATAAACATTAAAAATAATAAGTTAACTGATACACCAGGAAAAAATTATCTAACACATGAGAAATAAGGAAATACATTTACGCTGCTAGTAAAAATAGCTAGTACTTTTTGTAACAGTTATTTCTATTTGTAACAGATTTGTCTGTTATAAAAACAACAAGCTATTATAAAATAACTATAATAGCAGCAATAATACTTTACAATAGCAGCATCATAGTGCTTTATAATACTAGTGTAATTAGTACTTTATAATATGTTGTGTTTTCAAAAACTTGTTTTTTATACTTACGATTTAGTTCAAATTGTCTTTCATGTTTACTTTATTTGAAGATTTGTACATTGGAAGAAACAAAATAAAAATGTATATCTCATTTAACCAATCTATTGTTTAACTATCAAAAATTTTGTGTTTCTGCCATTATTAAAAGTAACAATATATACAGAGCAATTAATAAAATCATCCTTAGAGAAGTCAAAATGAGTTTTATCCGGGGATATGTTTCTCATGTTAGTGTAAGATCAGAAACATATATATTATAGTTATTTCTTTCCAAGGCCAATATCATTAGTTTTATAACACATATTATTAACAGATATTATTCTGATGCTAGCAGCTATAGCTAGTAATTTTAAAATAACTGCAACAAGCCATTCTCAATTGCTTATTTAAGTTACAACAGTGCATGAATACTTGTCTTTCAAAGAAGAAATCAATAATAAAATACTAAAGATATGAAAAAACACAAAATAAAAAAATTATAAAATTTATTTCTTACAAATATAGATTAAAAAAATTTAATAACACACAACTTTCGCACGATATAGAAAAATGTAGACATTGAATTTTTATTACACAATTTTTGTTTCATAATAATTCACAAAAAGGATTTTTAAGTACGATTCATATGAGCAATTGTAAGATCTATTATTGCAAAGGCACACTAGCTGAAACGGCATCATTTTTTTCCATCATTTTTTTTATTTATGGCAGCATTTGATATTACATTTATTGACAACAAAAAGACGAAATCTATAATAAACTACTTACATGAAACTAAAATATTACAAAATAAAATTATATGTGACACGATGTTAAAGAAATTTTTAATACCTACTTATCTTCAATTTATTTAAAAAAGGGCTGGATCATATTGCATTCGATCTTAACATATAAGAAGTGCATTTTCTGGAACAAAAGTTACATTTTCATACAAAATTCTCAAAATATATAATAAACTTTTGAATACAAATTTTAGAAATATCAATTTTATGAAAATTAAACTTTGGAATACTTTGATTTTATAAATAACATATACTTGATTAGCAAATCTTGAAAACTAAGCTTAAAGCAAGTTATAGCCCCATACGAAATTAGCAAAACAAGAATTTTAGAAATGTTAACTTCAGAAAAAATATCGACAATAAAACTTAATTTGAAATTTTTTTTTAACAATTACAAGAAAAGAAATAAATATGAAAATTATTTCTGAGGCCTGCAATATTAGTGTTATAGTTAAATTCCCATAATGGGGAGAAATTTCCTTTTATTTTTTAAATATTTCTGCAAACAATACTAGTGTAATAGAAAAAATTTATAAGTCAATATTAAATGTTAAATATGTAACTTACAAACTTTATGAGTTTATTTTGTTAATGCTCACTTAATACGAATTGGTGGTTAAGGGATGTGGTATGATCTCAAAAAGTTTGAGTGAGCTCAAATATGAATTTTTGTTTGTACTAATGTCTTAAATTACAAACAACAATTCATTTAGAAAATCATTCCCTTTCAATGTCATGTTCAGAATAAATTACATAAATAACAAAAAAAAAAATTATTTTTAATATTTTACTTTATATAGAAAATTTCATAATTAAACACACAAAATTTACAAATCCAAGAATTTCATTCACTAAATAGAAGCAAAATTACTTGATATAAAATAATACAATTCAATAAATATACATGATTGCAAGACCAAGATAAATTTTATATAAAATAATTTCAGCAAATTTTTTTTAAATACTTTCAGAAAAAAAATTTAAGACAATGTTCAAAGGAGTTAATATGCAGTTTTAACAGAAAAAAAGGTTACTTTATAAAAAAAGGTAAACCCAATAAGATGCCCATTAAAATCATTTATTCAATAATAATTTTTTCAACTAGAAGCTATGAAAGGCACAAAATAAATAAAATTAAAGAGTAGAGTATTTCGGTAACTTTTAAAATGAATTTTAATTAAACAAATAAAAGCAAACAATGTATAGTTTTTATGCTTTATTAAACACTGGTTCATTTACAAAAAGTAAGTTATACATTACTTATGCTATTACAGATTTTTATAAACAAAGTTACAAAAGCTGAAAACATCTATAGTTTTACATGCACACATTACCATTTTTAATTAAAATTCCTTTTTCTAAATGGAAACAAATAAATTAAATGTAAATGTTAAAAACTTATATATTTGTTAGAAATATGTCACACAAAAACAATGGGTCAGTTCACAGACGTGAAGTTTTTGAAACTCACTCAAAGATGTTCAGATGATACAGTTCAAAAAATCCGTTCTTTCTCTTTTTGTTAAAATTTTGTATTGAATTATTTCCATTTTAACACAAAATATTCTCCAATTCTGTGCTAAGATTATTTTTCATTATAACTTTCATTTCGAAATAAAAACTCACATAAAATATACATTTATGAGTTGAAAATTTTAGTACTAAAAATGTCCCATAAGTATTTAAAAATCACTAACTCTTCAAGATTTTAACTTTTTTTCTACAGTAGTTTGTTTTCCGGATAGAATCATTTAAAATGATCATTAAATAAAATTAAAGAAAAATGATGTCACTTGAAAACTGTGGTTGGTAGGGCACTGGACTCTCGTTTGTGAGAACGGGAGTTCGAATCCAGCTGGCTGAAGAATCCCCCTGTAATAAATGGTGATTAGTGCACTCAAAATTTGTCAGGTCACAAAGTCCTCCATATTACCACAAGAAATTATACTTCTGGGGGTAATGAATTGGAGATTGATTGTACTCTGTTTCAGGTCAAAATTACGGTATGCGTATGAATGAATGGATATATGAATTTATCTGCCCTATTAATGGGTGAAGCAGAAATTTAATTCTCGGCCACAGATGGCGCCACTAGAAAACAAGAACAATCCCACCTCCTCTGCCTTAAAGGCCAATGATAAAAACTTGAAAACTATGAACTGGATCATTCAAAAAGTCGACTGTCAACTTTTTCAAACGTCAAAGGAATTTAGAGTTATCTCCAGGAAACTGACCTATTGCTTTTATAAGAAGACAGAAAATAAATCTTTTATGTAAAAAATCAGATGTAGCAACCTTTTTATGTAGCAACCTTTGATAGTAAACAGAGTTTGTAGAAAATCACTCATGTAAAAAATTAATATCATGCAATTTCAATCTTATTAAACAATGCCACTTAAATCAATTATCCAAACTAGGATAGTATTTAATTTACTTCGATAGGTTGAGTCCTTAGTTCAACTTTTACGAAAAATCTTCTACTATGATATAACTTGCTTCAGAAAACTTCAGAATTAAAGGGAGAAATTCTGTTGTAATCATTGTTGTGCAATTTTAATTTTCTAATATAATAAGGTATGTCTGAAAATACTTTTCTTTGGCACTTAGTGAACGAAAGAACTTCAGAATCGTAGTAAATTACACATGCAAAAAATCTCACAATTTTAATCTCATGTAACTTTAAGAGGATGCTATACCTCAGGAGAAACTTTTCATCACAAATTTTTCATCTCCATAACTAATTTAAAATGAATTCAGGCAAACCTAGAGTAAGTCATGAAGCTTCAATCGCTGAAAAAACTTTTTCTGAATATCAAAATGCAAACAAATTATTCGAAGAGAACTTCTCCATTGCGTAGTCCTAAATTATCATATCATATTTTATTTTTGTGTCGATATTTTAAGAATTTACTACTGCAGGGTGCGTAGCTAAATCTTTCAACAAAAAATAAGTACCTTTTAAGCACTCAAGAAATATTTTTAACCATTATATACTTCAACAAAATGCAAAATAATTTTCAAAGACTCTACATGATCCTGATAAAATAACCAGTTTTGGACAAAGAACTCTTTTCTTGATGACATTAACCATTATAAAAAGATCGAGAGATTTTTTAGTTCTATATCAGAAGGTGGAAAATAAAGCTTGAAATTGAAAATATCTTTCAAAAATGCACCAGAGTTGCACATGAGAGTGCAATTATCTCTTGGAACCCAGCTCAGTAGACACACACATGGACTCGCAAGTATTTCATCAAACATGTAAAATGATTGATGTTTTCATACGCTAACAACCAATGGTACACCAAAATAGAATGTGGCTGAATGAATTGTGAAAACGTTGAACAATGTGAAAAGCACGCTTTTGCATAATACGTGTCGAAAATTGACATGGTAAAGAAAAAAATTCTCATTTTCAAGAAAGGGAAAATTAAGCACTTTTTAAAAACACCCAATGAAAAAAAACACATTTAAAGGCTTTTAAAACCAAAAATTGAAAATAAACACATTTAAGTACTTTTTAAAAATGCTACGCACCATGTACCAGTATTTTAAACTTTATGGCTTACTCTAGGTTTGTCTGAACTTTTTCTTTTACTTTAAAATTTTATTTACCTATTCAGGTGAAAGAAAATTTGTGACGAAAAGTTTCTCCCGTGGTATGGTGTCCTCTTAAGTGGCAATGAAAAAATTTTTATTCAAGTTATGAAAGTATTTAGCAGCATGATGATATACATTCTTAGATAATCACTTTAATAATAAAATTTCATTCTGAAATGACAATTATTATATCTTTATTTATCAAAAAGTATAAAATTTACAAAATAAAAGTTGGAAGACAATAATATTGCTTTAGTTATTTTTTTTCTTCTTTGGTATACCATTGTTTAGAATCAATTTTTCAACTGAACATTTCACAATAGATTATAAGTGTGGCAATATTAAAACTATTCATTTGTCCAGTTTATCGGTAATAATTATTATTATTATTATTTGACAAAATGCTAACTCCAGTATTTAATATTAAAGAGACATTGGCACTGTAAAAGCAGTATAGTTAATGCTTTAAGCTCACAAACATGTTATCTTAAACAAAACTAACTTATCTTTATTTATATTAAATAAAATAAATTCAATTATAAATAATACTATTTGACTAGAATAATATTGAACCTTAGTTTTAAAATATGCAACACTAAGTGTAAAAAATTCTCTGAACGAATATACTGAATCACTAATAATTCTTCAAGATTTAAAATGTCTATTGTAATTTCAATCCCATAGAAAGATCTATTAAATTATAGCTATTGTTTAAAAATTATTGCCCAGAAGAAAAAATGTAGGGAAAAAAATGATGAATTATATGCATAAATAAAAATTTATTAATAAATTAAGAAAGAAATTTAATTTCTAAAGAACTTCGAGTTGAGATGTCAATATAATATTTTTTTTTAAAAAAAGAAATTATGTATTCAAGTAATAATATATTACACTTTATCTTATATTGGCAAAATGAGAAAAACAAATCATAAGAATGTATAAGAAATAATACTAGAAGTCAATAAAGCACATGCTGTATTATTTTAAGAAAAAAAAATAGATTTCTTACATTTACAGAAAAAATTGCCAAAAAATACCATAGTATATTTAAACATACTTCCACAAAAACAAGCATGTACTGTACAAAAAAATATCCACAATAATGGTGTACACTTTCAAAAATTAAGCATGTACACTTTGACAAAAAATAAACATACTCACTTGTACTTAAGCACACACATTTTAATACCCAATTTCAAAAAATGACTCATATCACAAATAGTTTCACTGGTTCTTTTACAAACGCAATATTAAACAAAAAATAATCTCAAGGAAAAAGTTCTTTTGTCAGAACAAAATTGAGCATAAACAAACAAATATAGTGAAAGGTCTATGAAAGAACGGTATAATTTTCACAGATACAAATTACTGAATGCTTAAATTCAATATCACTTTAAAAAAATTAATATGCTGAAACGTCGTTAAGTACTTTTTCTCTAATAAAAAAAAACTTATATAAATTAATCCACAGCTAATGATGTAATACATAAAAAAATAATTAGTAAATTTAAAATGTAATAATATGCCTGATCTTAAAAAAAAAGCAATTAATTTACCTTAATTTTAAATATTTAAAAATAAACTTCATAAAAATAAATAAAAAAATTAAGTTAATTTTTTACATTTTAACGAAAATACAACTTGCAGCCAGTCATTATATCCCAAATAAAAATAAATCATGAGTTTACATATGATTTATTTTTATTTGGGATATATATATAATACTTTAGTCGAAATGAAGAATATAACAAAATTACTATAGAATTGTCAAAATGACGAACATAAATCGTACAAATACGAAGAAATAATATCAAAACTAGATAAAACACTTGCTATATTAATGTTAGAAAAGTAGATTAAAAAAATCTATAAACTCGCATTTAACATATTTGAATTATTTAAAAAAATTTGCCTATAATGTCTCGATTTTTTCCAAAGCTATGACAAATTTGAAAGAATCAAGGAGCACATTGAATTAATGGGATGTAATTAAAAAGTAAGAAGCATAAAAATAGCAAGAAATTTTAATTTACAATGACGCAAGATGACTAAAATAATAAGAAAAGAAAACTTAAACCACAATATAATAGCACCTTTTTTTACAATTCACTTTACATACTCAAAAAAAAATATGCATGTAATATAGCGTTGTCTTTTGCTACATTTTCAAAATGTACTAATTACCAGACTAGTTTAATCTAATAACGTTTGAATGACAAATGTGTATAAAAAGTTTAATAGTACACACTCATGTATACTTGTCACCATAAAACTAAATTTAAAAAAGTGGAAAAATATTTTACATAAATTCAATATAAAATTCCAATACTCAAATAACACAGAAAAGGTTTTAAAGAAGAAGAAAATTGGCACCTCTTTAACAAAACAGGAAAATAATTATAAGTCTCAATGCCACTGTTTGGAAGATTTAAATCAATGTTTATCATTTGAAACACTTTACAGTAGAGGAATTGTTAAAAATTGGAGAATGTTTTACATAAATTCAATATGAAATTTCAATACCTAATAACACAGCAAAGGTCATGAAGAAAAAAAATTGGCACTTCTTTAACAAAACAGAAAAAAAACATAAGTCTCAATGTCGCTTTTTAGAAGATTTAAATCTATGTTTACCATTTGAAGCACTTTGCAGTAGAGGAGTAGACAAAAATTGGTTTTCTGTGTTTGCTTCTGGAAGAGACCCTGTTTGAGGAACTATAGTAAATAGCTGAATGTGTAGATGAGAGCATATCTGCATACATACTATAGAACTGTAGTGAAGAAAGTTAGCAACAGAATATGCCTGGAAAAAAAATATGTTATGAAGAATAAGTCTTCGTGAAACCATTCATAGAACTATAACAAATGTGTTTGATTTCCAAGAATCATGATTAGTCTTTTATATGAGTCAACCGAGAAAGAAATTAGATCAGTTTAAAAATCATTTACTAAATTCTTAATCATAAAAAATTTTAATTTAAAAAAAAAAGGGGTCAAAAGCGGGTTTTTCACGAAAATAACATTTTTCAAAAACTGTTTGAAAACTAAAATCTTAAACTACTGCTTGAGCAACAAATTTTCATAAGGGATATTTAAAAGATTAGATATTATGACTTTTTGATGAAATTAACCCCCATTTGCATTAAATGAAGTAGAAGACCACGAGAACCTCCCACGGTTAGCCTGACAGTGAAGGGACACTAAATCATGATTTGCTACCACTGAGGATATTTTACGTCAACATTGTGCTCGGTGCAAGCCAGAAGCGGAATTCCTATCGACCAGCCATCGCTGGGATTCAAACCCGGTTCGCCTCCTTGGAAGGCGAAAGTTCTATCAACTGAGCCATCACAGCTCTAACCAAAATTTATTGAAAAGTCTAAAGAAGTGTTTTTTTTTTAAAAAAAAGATACAAATGCTAAATCAAAATAATACCTTTCAATACGTTAAGCAACGAAATTAAGGTGACTCCTTTCAAAAGGAAATAAGAAAAGCTGAGTTGGCAAGGTTTAGGACAGAATGAATTAAACCACGGTTTAAACCCTTTTGTCCAAAACCCATTTATACAAAACTGTCTTAAACTGTAAAAACCCTTTTATTCAAAGTATGTCCCAATTTTAAATAAATATTGTGAAAAATAAAAGGTTAATTTTTGAATAAGAAACAGAATGAAGACAAGTTTTTGCTTTATTAAAAAAGTTTATTGTTATTTTTAATGTTGTATTATTTAACCTTATGCAAAAACATAATTTACCAGGATTAAATGCATATTTATTCATATTTAAAGGATAAGGTATTTACTTTTGTTGTTCAATGAATTGTGGAGTTTCGAAAGTTATAAATATTTTCCAACTATATTTTATTATTTTCCTTTTATAAGTTAAAGCCAATTGTATAAAAAGTATCAAATATTTATTAATATACATAACTATTGTGTGTACATATAGATCTTTTACCTTTTACCAATGTTCAGGGTTGGGGAAACTTTAGGGTAGTTTAGGACAGTAAAATGCACGTGTCCTGTCCAAAACCCGTTTAAGACATCCGAAATCCCAACCCTGAAGAAAAGTACATAAAAGCTAGTAAGAAAGATATAAAACTTACCAAACATATCCACAATACAATGTACTCATCAATGAAGGTGTTAAAATACTGGTTAAGAAAGAGCATTCCAGGCCCTACAAGGATTGAATCTAGTTTCTCAATTTCACTTTTTGTCATATGAGCAATCTGTAACATAATATAAAAATATGATAATAAACAGAATTGACAAATACAATATAAAATCAAGAATTACACTATTTAAAAAACAGAATAAAAAATGAAAAAAAAGACTAACCACAAGTTTATTTGTGACTTTTGAGGCAACTACACCAAACGCCAAAATGTACAAACAAGGATGATGTTCATAAACTCTTGTGATGGACTTCTGATAAATAACAAAAGCTGGCACAACCACTAATGCAAGAGGTATGAAGGGTGAAAGTATGCTCGTCCCCTGAAGCAGGAATATTGATTTAAAAACAGACATACTATTTACTAAATTGAAATAAAAACAGTCATTAGCCTATTTATTAGACGCACTATAAGATTCTACGTAAAATCTTAACTATCAAGGGATACTATACAACTTCATTGTTCTTACGAGACTGACCCATTTTACACTTGTTTATGTTCGTGCATCGATTGGTTAAATTAGACGATATATAAGATAAATTTGACCATTGGATAAATTTACGATATATTATATAAATATAGAATATTTATTATATCAGGTATTACATTAGTATATTATAATAATTGGTTCAAATTATTAGACGCACAGTAGTTTTTTAATAATGACACGTTTTGCACGAGTTTATACGTAAAACTTTTATATTTAAACATACATGTAATGGGTTTTTATGCAGGAGATTTTTTATATACTTCCTATTTGTGTTTATTTTTAACATATTGCATAACAATGTTAACCAATGGATACAGGAGCGTAAACAAGTGCAAATCGGTTTCAGTCGCGTAAAAACAATAAAGCTGTATAGTATCACCTGATAATTAAGATTGTACATATAAACTTATAGTGATATAAACTTATATGATTATTACATGCATGAATTCGTATGAAGCTAATATCACTCTAATTTAGTGAATAACATTCAAATCGAAGTTTAATTGCTTTGCTCAATTCTGATAATCACTATGAAATGAAAACTCAATAGTTTTCATTTCATAGTGATTCAATAGTTTTAACTTGATATTTATTGAATTAATTTAATGTTTATCGAATTAAATTAATATTTTACTAATTTATTGTGGAGTACTAAATTTGAATTACTAAGTAAACTTATAAGAAAACTTAATAGTTTTAATTTGATATTTATTGAATTAATTTAATGTTTATCGAATTAAAATAATAGTTTATTAATTTATTGTGGATTACTAAAACTAAATTATTATGTTTTAAATATAACATTTTCATTAGTGGCGTCATCTATTTTTGTAAAATAAAATCTGGAGAAAAAAAAGATCTGCATTGTATTATGTCTACCTAATCATAACTTATTTTTAATGTTTTCTTTTGCTTGTTAATTGTTTTATAATACCGAAAAACAATTATTTAACATCTAAGAAATCTAGCAATTGTCTTTTAAGATGTTTATTTATCAATTTTTGATGCATAATTCCTATCAAAATCAAAGTGAAAGGTTATGAATTGTCCATTGAACTAATACCATGAATAAGGAAAGAATAAATTCACAAAAAATTATATCTTTTAATTCTAGTATATTTCTATCGGATTGTAAATATTTTTCAATTATTTAATTGCAAGAAATTATCTGTTTGTCACCACAGTGCGTTTATGAAAGTTCCGCAGGAAAAATGTAAAAGAATTTTCTCAAAAAATTCTAATTGTCAGGTAACAATATCTATAAGAGTGAAGTTGAACAAAAAATCAACAAAGAAAACAAAATCCTTTATAAAATAATATTTTCCTCTAAGATATGATAAAATCTTATTCAAATAATCAAACAAAAATTTACAATAATATTTATATACATTTTAAAATCTCATATAATAAATTCAAACTGAAATTAATGGTTCTGAAATCATACTTAATAAATTAAAGTAAGAGATTTTAATTTCTGAGTGCATAAGGAGGTTCATGATATTATTATATTTGAATATTAATCAATTCTTATATTTATTACATAAAAGCTAGCCAATAAAGCTTTAATTTTTGTTTAATAATTATTATTGTACTAAATTGTTGTTTTACCAAAACAGGGTTGTTTACCTGAAATTCATAACTTTAATATTAAAAAATATTATACTGAAACTTACAAAAAATATTTTAAAAAATGAAGAAAAATATAAGAATAAAATTTAGAGCAAATTAGATTTAAATAAATGTGTTATTATTTAAAGAACATTGATGATGCTATTTTATATTTTGTACAAAACTTGCAACATTTATCTTAAAATTAGTATGATAAACATACTGGAACTGATTTATGATTGGTTTAGATTTTGTGAACAAACTACGGAGAAATGATATTGGGGAGGAGCTACAAAAAGAACAGAAGGCAATGCCGAGAAATCCAATCAGAGAGCTCAAAATCTCTTGGGGATACTGTAGATGTAAAGGTAGTTTACACGCAGACTTGCATTAAATGAAATAAAATTTTACCTCTCTGTTTCTATATTTTTGATGTCCATGATTAACTTCTAAATTGATATGTTAAAACTGCAACATACATCAATGTCCACAGAGCATCTTTACTGATTACTTCAATTTAAAATGCAGTGAAAATTGTTTAATGTAAACTTGTGAAATTTAAAATGTTCATCAGTAAGAAGATATCATAAGTATATTATTAATGTAAGAAAATGCGGATAATTTGAAATTAGGCATTAACAAAATTTTGAAAATAAACATTAACAAAATTATCAAAATAAACATAAGCATTATACAACAAAATATCACCTTACAACAAGAAAAAGAATACTTTCAGTTCCATAATAGAAATGAAACTAAAGACATTATAATTGTATAATTTTGCAAAAAAAAAATTAAAATACACCAAATTTATACAAGTTAAAATAAAATTAGTTTACATTACACTCTTACATTTACTATGAAGTTATTTAAGTAGAATATTTGCAAAATGTGCACAATATATAGTTAAAATATTTGCAGTGAAAATAAAATCGAATCATTCCATTTAAAATTGAAAAATCAAAAATAAAAATAGCAAATCTGTTTTAATTTATACACTTAAAACAAAGTAAAACATTTCCAGGGGTCTGTCCAGACATTTTGTGAAAGGTCCGGTTTTCGTGAAATTGTGAAAAAATTACTCACTTTCCTTCAACCAGGGTCCTGCTTTTATGAATTTGTGCAAATAGGTTCCGTTTATGGCAAAAAACTTTTTAAAGGAGTTTCTAAATTGTAAATAAATACAAGATAATGTTCAGCACTATAAAATTATAATAAAAAAAATTTAATTTACAAAAATAAACAGCTATTGCTGCTTATAAATTAGAGATTCAACATGCAAATACTTGGTATTCAGCCTATACTGCTGAACGCAGAATATTCATTTCGGACAATTAATGGAAGAATCGTCTGCCGAAGACAAAACTTAATTGGTTTACATCCATCTTACTTATTTTCTGTACATATTTTGTGAAGGGTCCGTTAACGAACCCAAATTTCTTCTGAACAGACCCCTGATTTCCCTAAATAATTTCAAATTACAATAGAGAGAAACTTGTTTAATATGAACTTCTTAAACTCAAAATTATAATTTTGGATGGTCCCTTCAGCAGCTAATCTTTTAAATTAAAATGATTGACTAACTTACAGCCACAGACGAGCCATTTTTGCCAGTTCCCCCGGACAAAATGACCGTAGAGTTACTATAGCAGAGTAGCAAACTGACAAGAAAGGCTACAGTTAAGGGTAAGAGCCTCAGTTCACAATGTAAACCTGGTAGCTAAGAAGATAAGCAGATGTTAAAAATTCTGAAACAGGAAATTTAATTTGTCAGAATGTTAGCTAATAAAAAAGTCACTCAAAAAATAAGTTGCAAATAACTTAAAAATGCAGTGTAATGGCGAATTCTTAAAGCTTTTATAATTTTTCTAAAACATTTTTTTGGTCTGTTTCACATTAACAGGCACATTATTAAGTTCATGCTAATAAATAAGTTTAAAAAATATATAAGTCAAATAAATATTTATTTATTGCATATGTTAGGGATAATGCAGGAATGAAATTCAAATTCTGTGATAAGGGCTCGAAAAAGAATGTCAAAAAGTTTGAAAAAATAAATAAATAACTGCCGAAAAAATTATCACTGAACCACTTGAAAGTAGGATAGAATCGTCACAAATCAAATGAGCCAAAAATTGAAATAAAATGCAAGTGTCATTTTATGCAAGGCATTGTAAAAAATAAATTAAAGTTTTTTTTAATATTTGATAAAATTACTGTATGTATTTTAAAACATTTTTGATAGTAAACATAAAATATTGTGATTGCTGAAACTAAAATGCTTTTCAATAAGGAATTTCCACAAAAATGATTTCAATTTTTCACAAAAAAATAAATTAATAAATGAATAAATTTGTATAAAATTAGGAATCACAAAACTTATGTCTTTTAAGATTAAGGACCAATATCCAATATTTTTCTATCGTGATTTTTTAAGGCTATGGATCATTGCTTTTATAATAATGTGCATTGCAGATTATTAAATTAGAGGTTTAACAAACTAAGATTTATTACACCTAATCCTAGTCAACTAAGGATGAAAGCATTGGAGGTTCTTGCGATTTTAAACAGTCAACCCTGTGCTCATTTTTCACTCTTTTATCCGTAACACACACATTGATATTTAGTTGTAACATGATTATCTACACTTGTGCAACTTATTTTTTAACTAACTTTTTCAAAATGAAAGAAATAATTAGAAGGATGAGATTTGCTAGAACTTACACACCAGTTAGGAATTGAACAAAAGGAAGGAGGGTTTTTTTAACAGTGGTGAAAATTATATTGATAGAATGCATGCCTATTCACAGATAGATTATTAGATTACAAATAGATTACCCAATAATGCCTGAGTTTTAAAAAAAAAGGGGGCTGACGTAGCAGAAATATTTTTCAAACTTATCAAAAACCTGTCATAAATGTTTGTTTCAATACGAAGGCTTTTTAATTTACAAATAATCTTACTGCAACAGATGATCCATTTTTCCCAGCACCGCCAGTAAATATTCTCATAAAATTTGAGTAAAACGCAAATGTGGCAGCAATAAATCCTACAAAAACTGGAATCAACTTTATTTCTATGTACAAAGAGGGAATCTAGAGATAAATACAAAAAAGAAAAAAAAACATAAACAAAAATACATAACATAAAGAGAAACAAAAACATAAAACAGAGATTTACACTATAATAAACATGCAAAAATATATGGGTTTTTTTTTTCAAAAAAAATTTAGTTATTGATAGTCAATGGTTAACGAAGTAGCATGAACATACATCTTTAGTAAATAAATTCTGCCAATAATATGCAAAATTTCAAATCATTCAAACAAAGATAATTCAAATAAAAATTAGTATTTTTTAATACACACATTGATAAGGAAATGATAAACATCAGTTGTAGATGTTCTGCATGGTCAAAATGTTTTCAGCTTATAATTGATTATTAAAAATAAAATTTTAATAAATTGCAATTAATAAGACTAACAATTAATCAATTCATTATATACACTACAATAAAGCATACTTTAAGTTTACATATTCCTTCTCTCATACATTCCATAAAGTAAAACTTAATATAAAAATATAATTGGCAATGATATGAGTGTAATTTCAATCAAATTTTATCTACAGATTTTTCGTACTACTTGCATTGAAGGTCTAAATTAAAGCTGCTTAAAATTATCGAATATCCATAAATTATGTATCTTTAAAGAAAATTTAAGGAAAAAAATATATTTATATAAAGATTTTACATTATGCACAAATAATCTATAACAGGATTATTTTTACAATCTGCAAAGCTTTTCCGTACCCAAGCAATATTTCTCATTAAAATATTTATTCTTATTATTTAACGGTTTGTTTTGCTTCAAATACTGACACGAAGATGAAAAAATAAGCATCACATTTTGCACTTATTATATAAAATAAAGGGATATTTTACTAGGGGTATTTTTTAAACTATGAGGAAAATATTGATACATCGTGCATAATCATGTAAGTCAAAAAGAGATTTTCAAAACTGGAAATAATATAAGAACTTACGTTTAGCAAAAAATATGTATATAAATCTTATCTAAAGAAGATATTTCAAACGATTATTTATAATTACTGAAATTATTTTATGACCATTGTTAAACAGCCACCTCAATTTTAAGTTTACGGCTACTAATGTTCAACTTCATAGCCTTGTAATTTCGAACCCAATCCAGAAGACAAGGGAACCCCTGGATCAATTAAGTAGTGGGAGAAATTTGAATTTGTGGAGGACTTTTTGATGCAACTAACCCACATTTGTGTTATATGGAGAGGAAAACCACGAAAACATCCCCCTGTTAGCCTGATTGCAAGGTGTACTTAAACTATTAACACTCAACATACAATATTTTTAAGCGCTATATCATAGCTGCCAACCTTAGGAATCAAAAATTAGGAACACTATATGGGACAAAATTATACGCACTAGTAGAGAGTAAGATAAGAGCAGCTATGCTATATACATTAACAAAATGCAAACAAATTTTAAAAGACTTTACATGATTATGATAAAATAACTAGTTTTTGACAAAGAACTCTTTTCTTGATTATAAAAAAAACAAGAGGTTTTTTAGATCGAGATCAGGAGGTGGAAATGAAGCCTGAAATGGAGAATATCTTGCAAAATGCAGCAGAGTTGCATATTAGAAAGCAAGAATCTCACCGAACCCAGCTTAGTAGACATACGTGTGGACTCGCAAATATTTCATCAAACATGTAAAATTATTGGCCTTTCATATGCTATGGACCAACTGGACGCCAAAATAGATTGTGGTTGAATGAATTGTGAAAAACGTTGAATAAAACAATGAGAAAAGATTGCTTTTGTATAATACATGGCAAAAATTGAAATGGTAAATAAAAAAATCTCATTTTCGAAAAACGAAAAACGCTATGCACCATGTTGAATGTAATTACTGTACACTTAATTTTTATCCCAGAAATTGCGAGCTAGTAAAAAAAATTTTGATGTGTACAAAAGATAATAACTTACTCATATAAACTACGGATAGATGAATTAAAGAAATTAAATAGTTTATCATCCATTTTGCAAAAGCAAAAAAAAAATCTTCTGAAATTACTGTCCCTAATTGAAATGTACTTAAAGGGGACAGTAATTACCAAAGGGTCTATAATTATTTTATTTGAAAAACTTTTAATGTGTTCGATTCATTTGGTCATACTATTGCACAGTTAGTTTCCTTTACTGTCAGAATTCAAACAATAATAAAAGAACATAATTATTTGACAATCAGAACATCGTTTGCAAACATAAGAAACTATATTTTAAATCTTAACAAGTTTATGACTATTATTTTTTTTCCTTTTTTTTTTGGAAAAAGTTAAAATATTCTACTAACAAGCATTTAGACAGTTATGAATGCATTCTGTTTTGAGCTCCAAATATAGTTTGATTCATAAAAATCAAAATGTTAAATTTATAAAGTAAGGCTGAATAGCTGGGAAAAAAATCATTTTTCAAATTTTAACTGTATTTTTATTTATTTACTTTCCAATTTTTTTATTGGAAATTTACTTGGTACTTTTGTGTTCCTTTTTTACTCTTCTTAAGAAGGGAATAATTTAGAATATTTGCCCAATTACTTTAATTTATAATTTTAACAACAATATCTAAATTGTGATTGCTTTTTTTTGTCACTCTTTATTTAAAGAATGTTTGGTAAAAAATAAAATTTGAGTATAAAAAAAGTTTCACTTCATGTGAAAAAAAATAAATGAATAAATAAACAACTTTTACGTATTATAGAATTTGCAGTTTCAGTTTTAATTAATAATATATTTTGCTTAAATATAGGTGATAAAAAGAACAAAAATAAAACTTCTACCAGAGCAAGAAAGCAATTTAAATTTTACTGGGCTGTTGAAATGGAAAGTTTTATTGGTAGCAGGCACATAAAAAAGAAAATTATGCATCATTTAAAAAAGGCTGAAGTCAAAAATTAGCCATTTCTATACCATAAACAATCTAGATGAAATATACAAATTATAATGTAAAATAAACCATGTCATATTTTTAAATTATTATAGAGCAAATAGAATGTAGAGCAATGGTCATATAGATTACAGAAAATTTACAGAGCAATGCTTATGAAAAAAATATAGCCTAAAATTTAAAAAAAAATATATGTTTTTTTCAGTTAATTGTTATCATTGTCTCAGTACACAAAAACACGTAGAATCCTGGTGTCAAATTATTATGTATATGTTTACAAAATGTGGTATTACTTAAATATAAAAATGTAAGTAATAGAAAGATTTTTTTTCAATGACAAAGTAAAATGTTACGAAAACTTTTAATATTTCATCAAAATATTAGATATAATTGATTTTTCGAAAAAATGTTAATTTAATTTTTGATTAAACATTATTTAAAATGTTAACCTATATTTACTTATTAATTATCGATTCATAAAAAAATTAAATATTATGTGTTCTTTAAAGTGCTTAAATATTAACATTTTAACAGTATTAACATTTTCCTATACAATTACAATTTAAAACTGTCACCAATTTGTTATTTTTTGATTTTGAAGTTTTCTCCTTGATTTGAATATTTAAACGTATGATTAAAATTTTCAAAATTAAGTTAATTAACTATAAGATGAATTTTTCTTAATTGCCTCAAGCAAAAGTTAACGTTTTAAGAAAATCATCAGGGATAAAAGAGTGAGACAATTTGGTTAAAAAATATTGTGTCTAGAGGTAAGAATAGTTGTTGAGCATGAAAAACAAAAAAGAGATTAGTTAAAGATATGAAATATCTATTAACAAAAGTTGGAAATAAAAAAAAAAATATTTAAAAAGCAAAAGAATCAGAAAATTATATTTAAATTAATTAGGAGTGGAGAAAAACCATGCGCTATTACATTAGTATTGATGGTAGAAAAGTTTTATACAGATGAATAAGCATGATTGGAATTAGAGAAAAGTTATCACAGTTCAGCATATTGCTTTAGGAAACACAACATTCAATTTTGACAACAAAAAAAATATTAATTATTAATTAAAGTAATAAAATCAAACATCATAATAATAATTGGATTACATAAGACACACAAATGAGAAGAAGAACGAAAAAAAATCATTAATAAAGAAACAAAAACTATGAATAAAAATTTCAAGAAAATTACATGACACTTTCATTTTTTTTTAAAAAGTTTTAGTTTAAAATTATGTAGCATCATAAACAGCATTAGTAAAATTTTAATAAGATAATAAAATTATTTTAAACTTAAGATTTAATCAGGATACTTACATGAATAGACCAAATATGCGGCCCAAAAATCGCTGATATAATATGTATTAGCATAACAGTATATTGTGCTTCTGTGACATCAAACCTAAAGAAAAATATAATTTTCAGAATTAGCAATATATGTGTGTGGGTGTCTACATACATAAGGAGCCAAATGTTTATATGTATGTGTGAATGCTTAATTAATTCTGGTAATAGGTACAAACTGAAATGAAAAAATAAGTTTTGAACTAATAAGCTAAATTAATTGAGATAAAGTGCTTCTTCACCCAGAAAAAAATCACATTATTATTATTAACATCAATAATGTTTAATTAGTTTTAGTAATGGGTACTATAGTTACTGCTGCAGATATAGTGCGGCTTTGAGGAGAACTCCTACAGACTGATTGTCTGGGGCTGTCTGTTGCTATGGTAACAAGCGAGAACACATTTCTCATGGGGGTGAAATGGAGGAAAGAAGGTGGCGATTGGTTTACTCACGATGACATACGCTAAGATAAAGATAAAACTATTCACCCCACACCCCTATTCGAAGTGACCTTTCCTCGTAGCCATAGTACCTGCCATAACGCAAGACGGGTGTCTGGAGGAGTTCTCCTGAAAGCCGCACTATAGGTTCTTATTAGCAGATCAAACATTCTGACAAAATATTGCCGTGATTCTGATACAGGAGTATTGATATTTCCTCAATATTTTCTAGAGTTTATCTTAGGTTCCAACATTTTGCTAAAACATTAATCGAAATCAGGAAAAACACATGTATCACAATTTTATGTCTCCTCCACTCTAGTTGAACATGAATTAGCAAGCAGACATAGAAGCTGACATACTAAAAAGAATTCATGTTATACCACGTTCTGCCCCCTCTTCACGCCGCATTCAAAACGAATGAATTGATAAACAGATGCAGTTGCAATACTTGACCTTGAGTCATGATTCTGTTTCCTTGGCTGTCACAATGTTCAAAGGGGGAATAGCAGAAATGATAGAAGGTTTTTAAAAAAATTAGAAAAAGTAAGAAATAGGAAATAACAGGAAAAAAGGAAGGGTGCTGAAATAATAGGAGGTCTGCGGTCCTTGCACAGTTCTTATAACGGCAATACCAGAAGTACAAAAATAGAGTCAATAATCCTTAAACAATTTAAAATTTTATTTTGAAAATTAAGAATGTAAATAATTTAAAATTACAAAAATAATGGAAAAACTAATTTTTTCACAAGGATAGTTAAACACCTGCATAATTTAATTCTCTTTTTTTTTTAAAAAAAAAGCAAAACTTCAAATGCTTTTTTAGTCCAAAAACATTATGTACACGCTATGGGTATTTAGTTCATTGTCTTGCAGTTAAGACAAATTGAAAAAGCTCTAATTATGCTAAGAAAACATTAATTATAATCAATTGACATAAAAACTAAAAATCATTTAAGTCTTCGAAAACCAGGGGGGGGGGGAATGAAGCTTAAACATTAGAAAAGGTTGTCTTTTCCCCAAATTTAGATTATGTTGAATATTGAAATAAAATTTATTTGATAATATCGTAGTACCTAGATTATATTTATCATACCTGCCAACATTGGTGAAATAAAATAACCGAGATTTTGCTAACTATATTTTGTAGGCTATGAGTAAAGTTTTGATACATCATGCATAATTATGTAAGTCAAAAAGAGAAATTCAAAACTGAAAATAATATAACCAATTACATTTACCAAGGTAAAAAATATGTATATATATATTAATCTAGAGAAGATTTTTTTAAACCATTATTTATAATTATTTAAACTATAAAATACTCAACATACTGCAGTACTGGCAATAGCACCATCTGTTGAGGAATAAGAGAGGTATTTTTGCCATCTATGGATATTATAATGATATACATAAATTTCTTCAACAAATATGGTAAAATTTGAGAATATACAGGTAAACAGGAGTTAGTAATAAAATACAGGAGTCTTCGCTAAAAAACAGGAGACTTGGCAGGTATGTATTTATCAATAAAATTGCAAATTTTAAAAACTGAACATGTAGGTTAAAATAAAGCCTGAAATGCAATAATAAATTTAAGTTTGGAGACAGAAATACAAAACCAGCAACAACAAAAAATTATAACATAATAACTATATAAATATAAAATCTGATTTCTTTTAAAGGAAAATATTTCAATTACCTTCCAAAACGAAGAGTACCCGTTACATATGTCTGCCAGTGAGCAATGTAAAACAGTGTGATAGCTGTAAAAGATTGAAAGAACATCCACGAAGGATAAGACCCCAATTGAACTGCTACACATACTCCAAGAGATACAAAAACTAAAAAAAGTTAAAAACCGTAAAATTACAAATACATAAATTATATTACTTAAACACAGAAAACTCATTGAACAATATTAACTGGAACTTTGAACTTTAATAAATTTTGTTAAATTTGAAGTTTTATAAATTTTGTTAGTTAGTTACACATGCTCATTTTTCCTTTTTTTGTAAGAAACTTATATTTTCCATTCATTATAAATGACAAAAATATTTGAAATTTGGATTTTTTATTTTATTATTTTTTTTTTTTTAATAATAGAATTTAAATCAAATGAATCAAACAGTGATTACTAAATAGGTTTGTGTTGTCCTAATACAATTTAAATTGTTCTAATAGAAACATTTGGATTTCAAAAAATTGCTTGCATTTATTGCAAAAAAAAAAAAAAAAAAAAAAAAAAAAAAAAAAAAAAAAAAAAAAAAAAAAAAAAAANTTTTTTTTTAATTTTCATAGTTCTTTTGAAACAATAAATTCTTCAATTTTTTTTTAATTTTAGCAACTTGTTTTGAATTAATTATGTTAATAAAATACGTAATGCCCACAAAGAAGAGGGGTTATGAAAAATTTTTACAAAACCATTAGATAAATATAAGGCAAAGTTTTTTTAACACTTACAAGTTTTTAGATTAAATTGTCTAATCTTTTTAAATCAAAATCCTGTGCCATTTTTAAATCTGCAATGATATGTGAAAAATTAAGGTTACTAGTAGTGATATTAGAGCCGGTCAACCTTAGGTGTGAAGTAAAGTTAGAAAGTTTAAAAGAGAGCATCAGATTATTTTTGAAGTTTTTTAAGGTGATGCGAGTCTTTCTTATTTAATTTTTTGACTCCTTACATGTTGAAAATTATTTATTGTAAATCTTTTCAGAAATTTTGAATACCAGAAAAGATACCCATGATTTTGCACAATGCAGTACTATTACAATGTCCACACCTGGCTTACCGAACCGAATAGTTCATTAATCAAGTAATGTATAATTTCGGAGGAGGTTTTGTCCCCCAAACCCTACCCAAAAGTATGCCACTGACCCTGATACAAAGCCAAGATAAATTATCTATACCTGTTGATAGTGAATCACAACCATGATCAAAGAGTTCACCTAGAGGACTACTAGTTCCTGTTCTTCTTGCTTGCTTTCCATCACATGCATCTAACAACTGATAAACAAAAAGACCTACAGCACACAACACAAAACCCCAACGTGGTGCCTATTTAAGAAAATAGAAACATGTTATACTTTTAAAAATTGAAATATATATTTTAAAAAAATCTGCGTTAAAATTTAAACACATCAATTAATGCATAAGGTAAAATACAGAAACCAAAAGTTATTCAGGACAACATTCTTCAAAACTTTTTATATTTAGTGATGTAAAAAAATTTTACAAACAAAATATTCCTCAAAGATACCTATAATTTGAATACAAACATTAACTTCAAAAATAGAAGAAGTTGAAATAAATTTAAGATTGCTACGAAAAGAATAAGTAATCTAAGTTTTTTCTTTTTTTTTTTGGTACTATCTTATACTAAACATTTTTTTGTTGTGCATATTGTGAGCCCAGAAAAGAAACCTTTATGTAGTGCCCTCCTCTATTTCGATCGCTATTTTTAGGTTGCCAAAACTGTTATACTCTGCATCTTTATATTTATAGATTTTAAATTAAAAAAACAAGGTAAAGAAAGAGTTGAAGCAATAAAATAAGTGAAAAAAACACAAAGTCAAATAATTTTTCATCTTTTTTCTGCAGAATTATATTCTAAAGATACTTTTCTTGTTCATTGGAAAGAAATACTCCAGATTTTTCTGTTCTCATTTCCAAATTAAAAAAATTCACCAATGACTGGCTTGCTTCAGTTAGAATTTTAAATTGATAAGATAAGAAAAAAAATAACAAAAATTCTGAAATCACAGAAATTTAAAAGGTAATTCACGGTGTTTTAAATTTCATTTATTGAAAGAACACCATAGTTTTTAAAGAACATGATAAAAGCTTCTTATATTTTAATAAAATATGACTGTGAGGGGGTTTTGTTACAAATTCAGATATTCGACACATCAGGGGGGGAGGGTAAAATTCTATTTTAAAAATTAGATTTTTCATAAACCAAAATTCACAACTTTCCATGATTTTTTTAAAAAATAGTTAAAATCATGACAAATTTTGTTCAGTACCAATCAATTGATATTAAAAGCTTACCTAAATAATTTACCTCAAGTATTAATTTTTTCTATGAAATTACAAAGATTATAATAATAGATTACTAAAATCAAAATAACTTATTTTAACTTTTCATTAACTGGATTAATATTAAATTTTTTACTTAAAAATAATACAAATAAATCTCTTTAAAGTTGTTTTTATAGGAAGCATTTTCTTAGGCAAATTTTTGAGTCCAGCATCTTTCAAAGCATCATTAGTCAACATTTGAAAGGCAGGCAGAGCTGCCTAGACTTTTTTTCATGCATTTTCGTTTTATTCTAGAGTTTTGAGACATTGGTTACTTTCATCAGTCATTGACTAGGTTCTCGTTACTACTCTCACTCTCTTATGTCATCAGGCTTTGTGTGAGGGTACATCTTCTTTACTTGTGGATGTCAATTCCTTTTTGTTAGAGAGTTTGTTTTGTTTAATAGGGAAGTCTTTTGGAATTTGAATTTAGCATATGCATCCTAATAAAATTCAATCTTGATAATGTAAATATCTGTAACAGGGTGCATAGCCAAACTATTCAACAAAAAATAAGCACCTTTTAAGCACTTTTCAAGAACTCAAAAAATATTTTTAAGCACTTTAAAACAATATCATAACTAGGCAAGGTTGGAAAGTTTTTGACAATGGACGTTTTTTTATTTTTTTTATCTTGTGTTAATGTGAACTGTGTCTTTTTGCATAATTCGAAGCGAAAATCAAGATAGTAAAGGAAAAATCTCATTTTGAAAAAGAGAAAATTAAGCACTTTTTAAAAACACCCAATAAAAAAAGCACCTTTAATGGCCTTTAAAAAACAAAAATAAGCACCTTTAAGCACTTTTTAAAAACGCTATGCACCCTGTGTAACCTTTCTGCTTTGGGGAGATTTCCGTATCGTGATCTATGACAGAACAATCGCAAAGTCTTGGCAACTTTCGGACAGTGGCCCGCTAGAAACTAAACATCACAGAAAGCAGGGGTCTGTCAAGGGTAAATTTACTACCGTTTAGCAGTACTTTCACAAATTCAATTATAGGAAAAACGGTAGTTTCACAAAATACTTTTAACATATTTTCAAATTTTTTTTTAAGTATTTTTGAAAATATTTTCTTAATTTACCATATTTTTGTATCTGGTTTTTAATATTTTTTTTAAAGTTTAGAAATTATGTCTAAATTTTCACAAAATAGGTATCTTTCAAAAAAACCTAGACAGACCCCTGGAAAGGGACCAACTCTAAAGGTATAACTCGTAACCATCCCCTGGCAAACATCTACATGTTTATTTTTAAAAACCTTTTGCAAGCTTAAAATCTATGTGGCACCTTGGCGAAAGTAGTTGGCGCAACACATCACGATACGGAAATATCCCCTTTGTTTTTACAGCAAAAGCATTTTCAATATTTCTAATGCTTATAATAGCATCCAGAATCATTCTTGATTTTTCAGTTGTGACAATTCTTTTATTAGCAGAGAAACCTCTTTCCACTGATGCCAATCCATTGGAAAATGTAAGAACGGCTTTGTTAAAAACAGATAGATGACTGTATTTCGAGAACATCCTTATTATCTTCTAATTCGAAAAATTTGAGCTAAAAATAATCAATTGGTTCAGAGAAATATCCCCTCCATTTGAAAGATTCTACTCATCTGAAACTTTATCAACAGAATCTTCAATTATTACTAGAGGCATCATATTGTTATGACAGGCGGTGTAGATGTTACATAATACTGCCTGTTAATTTATCCGTATCGTGATCGGTGGCAGAATGATCGCCAAGTTTTGGAAACTTCCGGGCAGTGTCCTGCGAGAAACTTTATAAAAAAAACATCACAGAAAGGGACCAACTCGAAAGGTATAACTCGTACCCACCCCCGGGCAAACATCTACATATTTTTTTTAAAACTTGCGTGGTACCAAATAGTTTAAAATCTATTTAGCACCTTAGAGCGGCATATTACGATACGGAAATATCCCTAATTATTATTTCATTTATACACATTAATGATCTTAGCCATCAGAAAAAAAAAAGTTTCTTTAGGATAAAGATTAAACAAACTTAAATATAACTCACCTCTTTCAGACCATCGGGACTATAGCATATTAGTATTAGAGATGTTAGAATATTGATTAAAAGTCCGGCAATAGTCATTAAATTCGGTGCCAGCCATAATGGAAGCTTTAAAACAGCCCAATTCCAGAAAGGTTGAACTATAGGATCAAGCAATGTACGGCCACAAGAATTATACCGATGATCACTCAATCGTTTTAATTGAAAAGGTGTGAGTATATCTTTAGTCAAAAACATTATGTTAACCAATGAAAAGGGAATTAATTGTCAATCAGCAGTAAATTAAATTTGACAAATGAACATTATTAATAAAAGAGACGAAGTTCCCGAAAAATACAAATAATACGCAAATAGGAAATTTACACAAAAAAAATTTAAAGGAAAATCTCTTTATTTTCAAAACCTTAATTAAAACAACTTTTCACATAAAGTGAAATCTCCAAAACGACGTTTGTATACAAAATGATTGTTGCCATTTCTATGAACGGTTAACAAAAGTTTTCTTTATAACACTGGATAATTTTTCTAAAAAAAATTAAATTATCAAAATAATTAAAAAACATTATCCACATAAAATTTATTTCAATGGATAGAACAGCTCAAAATGTTTGATTATTTAACGTGAATAATAGATAAAAAATATTAATTTCAATATCGATACGCTTTAAATCTAAATCTTAATTTAATGAATTTTGGCGTTAGACAGAAAACTTTTGTTTACATAATAATAATGTTACAATGTTACTTATTATTAAAAAGCTTCGATCAAAAAGATAAATCTTAACGTTGTAAAGTAAAGTTTATCTTCTAAGATGCTCAAAAATTCTAAATCTATGTTTACATTTAATAAACTCTAATATATATTTGTTTACCGGAACTAGTGTAAACTATTAAAATGACTTTAGTTCTATGTTTTGGAGGAATGATTTCCTTATTGTTTCTTGGATTTGTCGGTAAGCTCATAATTAATAAAAATAATTCTTTAGTGAACTTGAGTCTTTTGTGAATTCACTTTTAACTCTTTCTTCTGATCCTACAGTTACTGAAATATATATATACATCCTTTTGCTCATCCTGTAGGATGCAATCTATGTTTCATTTCTCAAATTTGGTTTACTACATTGGGTTTGTCATTTTAATGTACCTGAAATCACTTCTAGTTGTGCAATTTAAACTGATATATTTGATTCAGAGTTTCACAATAATTTTTGGATTGCAAGCCGCGGAAACATAATTGTATAGCACTGTAATCATAAAACTAGCTAGAATATTTAGATTCTATTTGAAAGTTACATGAATAACTAATAATAATGCTGATTGCAGATAATAAAACATGTAAATCTAAATAATTCTTCCTACAAGGTTAAAAGTGACTAATTTACAGGCATGGCTAGAAAAACAAAAGTAGACAATTAAAATTTTCTTTATTTTTCTGTATGTTTAAAATAACAATAAGAAATTAATGTTACTTACAAATTAGTTAATGGGTAATTTCGCATTATTTATGTTTTAGATACGGGGATATTTCCGTATCGTGATCTGTCGCGCCAACTACAATCGCCAATTTCCCAAACAGATTTTAAACTTGCAATTTTTAAAAAAAAAAAAAAAAACGTGTAGACGCTCGCCCGTGAGTGTCTATGAGTTATACCTTTCTAGTTGGTCCCTTTTTGTGATGTTTTTTTCAGTTTCTCGCGGGCCACTGCCCAAAAGTTTCCAAGACTTGCCGATTATTCTGCTACAGATCACGATATGGAAATCTCTCCTTAGATACAGGAGATTGCACAGCCAAATTTTCAGGCTTTTTTTTTTCAATTTGAAAGTACAAATAAAAATCATATAAATTATTTTTGTGTTCTTTACCCCTACAACTGCATAATTCTGAAATTTCTTTGGGGAGATATCCGTATTGGGATCTGTGGCAGGATAATCGCCAAGTCTTGGCAACTTCAGGGCAGCGGCAGAGAGAAATTTAAAGAAAAATTACAGAAGGGGACCAACTTGAAAGGTATAACTCATAGCCACCCCCTAGAAAACATGGGGAGATTTCCGTATACTGATCTCCGACAAAATAATCGCCAAGTCTTGGAAACTTCCGGGCAGCGGCCCGCAAGAAACTAAAAATCAAAAAACATCACATAAAGGTACCAACTTGAAAGGTATAACTCGTAACCACCCCCGGGCGAACATCTACATATTTTATTAACAAAAAAAATTTCAAGTTTAAAATCTATGTGGCACCTTGGCGATTAAAGCTGGCACAACAAATCACGATACGGAAACATCCCCATTTCCTTTTAAATGAGCCAATGGATTTTCTTTTTAAAGAAATAAATAAAATATTATTTTATAAGAGATATAAAAAAAATTCAGAACAAACTTCGCAAGTGTGGAAAGAATTCTGAATTTTATAAATTATTTTCGTAATCAACTTTACGATAAGGTACTGAAATATACATTTACTAAATAAACTTTTCAAATAATATTTATAATTGTATAAATAAGTGGAAGTTAATTTTTTTATGTACTAGACAGGACTATTTGTTACATACGGGACTTCAGATTTGAAATTAAAGTATTACTGAGCATAAAATGGTAATTTAATTGTTTGGAATCTCTTTTTTCAAGCATATTAGAAAACTCTTTGTCACTGTATTTATGAGACACTGCTTCTGTTTGTTTTCTTTACATATTTTTATACTTTGGTTTAAGTCAATTAAAAGAAATAATCTAGCAATGAATTTCTATTTTTAGAAACAATTCCAAAGATGTCTGGAGAAGAGCCGATAGAGAATGAACTCCTTATTGATTATCCAAAAGCTGATAAGAAATTGAAAATTCATTTCAAAGGACATTATGATCCTGAGTTAATCAAAGCACTACAGCGTTCCCCTCAGCTTGTATCACCTGACCTCATAGACAAAATTATACCTGATCATAACAAGATAATTTTTGTAAGTTCTGCTGTTTCTTTTTTCCACTTTTTCTTTAAAAAGTCACTTTATTGTATTTATTTTATAATATTTTATTAGCTGAACAAGGGTCTGTTCAGGACAAATTTACTACCGTTTAGTGGTACCTTCACAAATTCAACTTTAGAAAAACGGTAGTTTCACAAAATCCTTTATAAAAAGCAAGTTCTAAGTTCCCCGCTTCTTAAAATTTTGTTTTTTGTATCCCCATAAAAAACTACAAATCCCAGAGTTTTTTAAAATGAAACATCGAGGTTCTCTCTATATAAACTATACAGGAAATCAAAATTCGAACATCATTCTAAACATTCAATCGTTATCCTTATCATTATTGTAAATTTATTCTCACTGACCTTTATTTTGTATGAAAATTTTCTTTCCTTATGAAAATTTTTTCTGTATGACCTAGTCGAAAATAATGAAAGTTCTCATAATGAAAATAACTTTCAGTTCTAGTTCTTCTAAATGTAAGTTGAAATTTTAACTATGGACGATGGATTTTTAAATTTGGATACAATTTTAAGCTCAAAAATTTTAAAATAGCAAAATTATTTTTTAATATATGGGGAAATTTACCAGTCATAAATGATTTTTATTTGTAGTGATAATTTTTCATGTTTCCATATTTTAGTTTTGATTTTTAATGTAACTTTTAATTTTCACAAATTATGTGTAAATTTTCACAAAATAGGTACCTCTCAAAAAAACCTAGACAGACCCTTTGCTGAAATAATAATGCTTGCAATTTTTCAAGATGTTTGATGAGAATATTCTCAAAAAAAAAAATTCTTAGAGAGCAAAAATATTTTGAGAATATTCTTGTGTTGCATGAAATTAGAATAATACTTGAGAAAATTCTCTTGTCTTATAGTAGACAAAATAGATTATTGGTAGTTTTTATATAAGTATTTTCTTTAAACCGTGATTCTAACAATTTTTTAACTGAACATGTGATTTTGATTTTTTATATTTCTTCTGAAACAAGAGCACCAAGAATATCTTAAGGTTTCAAGTTTCTAAAGTAATCTTTATTTAAAAAAATGAGAAAGAAATGTAAACTTTGTTGAGCAAAAGCTGATAAAATTCTTAATAAATAAGGTTTTTCTAACAAAATTTAATATAGTTAAAAAATATCATTTTTATGCTATGAAGATGAAATTTCATTTTCTCTAGTACATTCATTGTTATCTTCATTTATTCTGTGATTAATAGCTGAATATGATGGTGTAATTCTTTACAATAAATACAAATTCTAATTTAAGAATAATGTCTCAAAAGGCATAATTTATGATTAAATTGTGCTTTAGAATTATTTTTATGACAAAATTAGGGTTTCAGAATTACTTTTGAGAACAATTTTGTATAATACTTGAAGAATGTTTGTTTCATTTTAATTATTGAGCAATTACTACTAGTTTGTATTTATTAATTATGCTTGTTCCCAATGCATTTTTTTAAAAATCTTTGAGATATTAATTCTTATACAATAATAACCTATTTGAAAGTTTTGGAGAACAATTTTCAAAAAAAGTTTCTCTTTTAATCATTTTATCTGATAAAAAATTTTATTGTAGCAATTTCATCTGATAAAAAATCTTAAATATTAATAATTTTAAAAAAATGTGATATAATTTATCAGTGTTTTCACTACAGCGCGAGAACGCGAGAATCTCGCATATTTTTTTCTTTTCTCGCATTAAAAAATTATTACTGCGAGAAATTCGCGCATTCCATAAATCAATTTCAAAATTCGCGAATTTCTCGCATTTTGGAAGAAGCTTCGAATTACACTATTTAGAATAAAATCCGTTTCACTTTTCTTCCTGGATCTTCATTATTTTCAACATTTGCTCCGTTATCTAGCTTCCCTATTTACCAGTATTGTTCAGAACCTTTTCGAACAACAGAACACAACCGAACCACGGAGCCCCTTTCAGAACACATTTCTCTGCAACCACGTGTTTACCGTAGGTAAGGTTTTTTCATGTAAGACGTTCAAATTTTTTATGCACTAATGTAAGATGGACAAATACCTAGTAAAGGCAAAATCTTCTATGATGATGCAGCAAGAATATTCAATGCTTTAAAAAATAGAAGACGTTAAAAATGTATTATAATAAAAGAAATGATTTTTTTTCCAAGTCTATTTGTGTTTTTTAAGTTTTTGGAAATCTCACTTAACTTTCTGAAATCTCACCCTGTTTTTGAGAAAGGGTGAGAAATTCTCACCCATTTTTTTTCTATGATGAAAACACTGTTTATTTAGTGTTTATATTTTACAAATATTATTGATGTAATTTTAAATTTTAGAAATATTAATTTATTTCTAAAATACTGATTTTTATATTGACTAGGAGGCTATTCTCCTTGAAGAATATTCCCAAGAATATTGTCGAGAAATAAATAGTGTTAATTACATTAGCTAGGAGACTATTCTCCTTGATAAGAATATTTCCAAGAATATTCTCAAAAAACTAATGGCAAAAGTTTTGCATCTCTATGCAACTGAAATGCAGGACTTTCTTATTTAATTTTTTTAACTAAGAAACTGTACTTTTTCTTAAAAAATTTCCATTGAAAATCTCAAGCAAATTAAAAAACACAAACAATGAACATTATTATTTTTTTTTAGAATTTATATTGTTGCTTTAATATTGTGGATGTTAACAACAACAAGGTGTTTACTCTAAAAATCTTATAAATGAGAATTTTTTTATTTATTTATTTATTTCTATTGAAAGTCTTAAATTAGAACACACAAACAATAAACTTTTTTTTTTTCTTTGAAAAACTTTTCAATTTCACAACTAAGTATAAAATTGCATTTCTTTTTTTCCTTGATGCAGCAAATCTTTGATCAGTCCTAATTAAAAGCCTTAATTTTTCCAATATAATTCTTCTCAATGTACTTTGTTGTGTTTTATGAATGTACTTAATAATATAAATGGAAAGATAGGTAGAAAATTCATAAATTAAAAAAAAAGCTTTTAGTAAAAAGTCCTGGGTTTTAAGGATGCATACATTTCAAATCCTAGCAGAATCACAGCTTGTATGTTTTATTGTTTAAATACCTGATTTGGTTTTTTCTGTACATTTTAAGGTTATACAACTTAGGGAGCCACTAACACATTTGGAAGTTATTCATGATATTACAGAAGCTGTTGCAAAACATCTGAATTTAAATTTGGATGATGTTAAAATTTCTAAATATGAGGTATGCTATTCAGTACTGAAAATAATAGTGTATGGTGTTTATCATTTAAAGAATTATTGTTTTTAAAATTATTACCTAGTAATAATTATAAGTAATAATAATTTTCATAAAATAAAATTTTAACTAATACAGTAGAGTATGTTTTCCATTTTTCACTGCATACAAGAACCTGTTATAAGCTAATAAAATATCCCACCCAGTTCTTCATCCCATTTAACGCCACAGATTTCTTCTTGGAAGCACAAGATTCTTCCTTGCTTTTGCAATTTTCCTCTTTACCTCATTTACCTTTTTTTTTTCGTATTTATTAAAGATTCCAGTGGCAGGAACACGGCGACATGGTCACGGACATGAAATCCCCTTGCAGACAGCTTTTGTCTGTGCTAATAAAACTATCTTTAAAAATGTCTGCAACCTTCAGGCACATTCTTTCTGCGGCCTGTTCTGATGACATCACGGAACGCAGCACAGTGGAATCCGCTCGAAGATCTGACAAGAACATATATTGCTCTACTCGCAAATAACACTGCATCAATGTGACGTCCCTTTTGTTGCAAAAGGGAACGGATGAATCCAGCTTTGCAAGCTTCTTCACTGTCCTCGTGACCCTTTTATTTCTCTGCCCTGTTCACATACTTTCCCTTCCTCCATTCTTGCTTCCTCTGCATTGCTTTCTTTTTCTGTGTGCTTGCTAAGAGATTAAATCATTGCGTGGAAAACAAACAATGTGCTAGACTGTCATCACGAAATAAGATTGTATATGGTGTGTGTGGATGTAAATTAATTAAAAGAAGAAAAAAAACTGAGCACACATTTTATGGGGCACACCCTCATCAAGATATTCATCGGATCCAAGCTTGTGTTAAAAATGGTCTGCAAGTCATATTAAAATATACAAAACATTCTGTGGAGTAGCAAACAAATTCTGAAGTTGATGGTGAGCAGCAGAACCAGGAAAATCTGTCCGTCGAAGATCAAAGAACAAACATTTGCTCTGACAGTAAAAAGAACAATTATGATGAAGATGGAAGCCAGAATGTAACAGAAGCCGGAAAGCAGATTGCCTGGATGATCATGTTTTTTTTTTAATGTGAAGTTTAGTTTGTATATATGCTTCATCCATTTGTGTATGTAACCTTTTTTTTTTAAAGAAGATACTCTAAACACATTACAACCTCATATTATCTACAAATTTTTTTTTTGTTTAAAGTTAGTACATCTAAAGCAGTATGTTGATAATTTTGGGCTAGGATAACATGGTGCATAGCATTTTTAAAAAGTGCTTAAATTTACTTATTTTCGTTTTTTGGAGGCCTAAAGATGCTTTTTTCATTAGGTGTTTTTAAAAAGTGCTTAACTTTCCCTTTTCTAAAATGAATTCTTTTTCTTTACCTTGTCAATTTTCACCATGTATTATGCAAAACCATGCTTTTCACATTGTTCTATTCAACGTTTTCACAATTCATTCAATCTCAATCTATTTCCGCATATTGTTGGTCCATAGCGTATGCAATCATTTTACAGGCTTGATGAAATACTTGCGAGTCCACATGTGTAAATAGTGAGCTGGGTTTGGTGAGATTCATGCACTCTCATGTGCAACTCTGCTGCATTTTGCAAGAAATTCTCAATTTCAGGCTTCATTTTCCACCCCCCTGAAATCGAACCGAAAAATCTCTTGATCATTTACTTAATGGCTATTATAAACAAGAAAAAGAGTTCCTTGTCAAAAACTAGTTATTTTTATCATGATCATGTAAAATCTTTGAAAATTATTTTGCATTTTGTTAATGTATATTGTGCTTAAAAATATTTTTTGAGTGCTTAAAACATGCTTATTTTTTGTTGAAAGATTTGGCTATGCACCCTAGAAAATTACTTTATTAATTGCTGACTAAATATTGAAGTATAAAATTGTATTACTTTGTAATTATGATTTTGTGTTCTTTTCAGCCTCAATCAGGAGTCATCAAAATGTTTTTCCTGTACAGAACTAAACACGACAACGACACAGAAATTGGGAAATTAAAACCAGCCTCTGAGATGCTGGGACATTTTGTTAAGAAGAGATTGCAAAATGCTGGTGGTGCCATCAAAATATTGGATATTCATGATGGCAGTGTAAGCTTCATTTCATTTTTAAAATTCAGTGCAAGGTCTACTCTCTAACTATTACAATAAATCCTCTTAAGTTGAAAAATTCTTTAAGGTTGCTGCAGCTGTTTTAAGCCCTTGAAATAATTAGTTTTTTACATCCTATTTGTTTTAATCTTTTTCTTGCATGGGTTTGCAAATATTTAAAAAATCTTCCATTAAAAAAAAATCCTCTTTTCTTATTTTTTCAGGTATGGGCAAAGGCATGATAATAACTGTCTCCTCTTTAACATGAACAAAATATTTTTTGTGTGCTTCTAACTTATTTCTTGTTCTGATTTCTGTCTATAAACTTCTTTTTTTTTTTTTTATCGTTTCCAAGGTACTCTTTAAAAAATTTAATTTGTGTAAGCATTTACTATTTCAATTTTAATGGAAAAACAATTATTTTATTGCTAATTTATTTCGCTATTTATTATTATGTTATTATTTATTATAATATTTATTATTAATTGCTTATATATTTATGATTATTTTAAAGTTTATAAGGCATGGTGCATAGCGTTTTCAAAAAGTGCTTAAAGATGCTTATTTTCATTTTTTAAAAGCCCTTAAAGGTGCTTTTTTCATTGGATGGTTTTAAAAAGTGCTTAATTTTCCAATTTTGAAAAGATTTTTTTCTTTACTCTGTTTTTTTTCTGTCTGTTTTCACCATGTATTTTGCAAAAGTGTGCTTTTCACATTGTTCTATTCAACGTTTTCCCAATTCATTCAACCACAATCCATTTCGGCTTACTGCCGGTTGGTAGCGTATGAAATTGCTAATAATTTTACATGCTTGTTAAAATACTTGCTGTCTCACAACTCTGCTCCATTTTGCAAGATATTCTCAATTTCAGACTTAATTTTCCACCCCCTCTGATATTGAACAGAAAAATCTCTCGATCATTTTATAACGGCTAATATAATCAAGAAAAGAGTTCTTTGTCAGAAACTAGTTATTTTATCATGATCATGTGAAATCTTTGAAAATTATTTTGCATTTTGTTAATGTATATAGTACTTAAAAGTATTTTTTGAGTACTTAAAAGGTGCTTATTTTTTTGTTGAAAGATTTGGCTACACACCCTGTGAATGTCAAAACTTTAAAAACTTTTTTTGGTACTTATCAGTTATAGGGACCATGAGTTGTACAGCATGTACTAGCAACCTGGTAGACACAGGCCGCAAATAACCACTAATACGCATGGAGTATAAAATTATATACTTAATTATAACAATACATACATAACTAACAATATTTATGCCTATAAATATCAACTAGGATAGCATCATAATCATTACTGATTACATATCAGAAAGATAATATCTCCAATAGTGTACATAATGATAATTATTGAATAGAAACTTATTCTGAGTGATGATAAATTTTACTGGATTGAAATTTATGAAACGCAAATGTTGGCTCAAGGTAAACTGAAGAAATATAGTATTGTTGATATTTTTTGACAATACATTGTTTAGAATACATAAATTATGCTTTTGATATGCTTTCACAAAATGTCTGTCCAGACATTTTGTGAAAGGTTCTGTTTTTGTAAAATTGTGAAAGCACTAATTATAATTTGTGAATATAAAATAAGCACATTCTTTAAACCAGGGTCCTGCTTTTGTAAATTTGTGCAAATAGGGTCCTGTTATTTGGTAATTAACCTATACTGCTCAACACAGAATATTCATTTTGGACGAATAATAAAAACAAAATCACTCACATTTTTAATAATTTCAATTGACCTATTTTAAATAACACAGCTTAGTAATGAATCACTTTTAATGTGTTAAGCATTAAGTAAACTTAAACAATTCTTAAATTTATAATATTTTATTTAAAAAGTTGCCAGAAATTAATTTTTATTTGCCTAATATTCAATTAATTAATTTAATGTTCTACATAGGAATCTCCATACCAATATGTGAATGGTCGAAGAATCACTGTACAGAGTATATTTAGTGACAAGAACTGGGAAGCTTGGCAGCTAGCTGTTCTCATTACAGCTAGCTTATTTGCCATATTTTGTATGACTGTTGTAATTGTAAGTTCTTTTTTATTATTTTTTCAGAATTCTTTATTACTTTATTGTATCTTGCAAACGTTTATTATCACTGGATACAGAACTATCCAACATCTCCCTTTTTTTTATGTTTTAGTTCTATGACTTAATTATGAAAATTCACGAATCTTATGATTTATAATTTTTTTTAGACATTTTATAAGTAATTATGAGTACAAATATCTTTTAAGCTGCACCAATTTTATTGTTGCAATTTAATTTTACATTTTCTTGAAAATGGTTTGTGAAATATAATATTTAAATAATTTACAGAACGTTTCTCTTGCTACCAAAAAATATTTTCTGCTTCCTCTTCAAACTCTCTGGGCATTAACCCACGCTCTTTCTAAACTTAGAATATGTTGCTTTGCTATAACAAGAATTTAAAATTACTGCGTGGAACCTTTTAATGTTTTTGTATGATTTTATAAAACGAAGTTCAATACACTTGGGTATTAAACAGCTTGTTCTACTTTTTTTTTACGTATTTGGGCATATTACTAATTATTAAATGGAAAATTAATGCAAAGCACACACAAAATTCTGAACAAACAGTCGTAATGCACTTTCAAAATATGATTTTGAAAATACCTTTGCAACATACAAACATTTATAACTGTGACACAGTAATTTTGCTAACATTTATCATGGTGATTTTTCTATAACTGGTAGGCCATAATTTTGCTAACATTTATAACAGGGACACATTAATTTGCTGACATTTATATCAAGATATCTGTATCCTTTTTTTTTTTTTTTTGAATAAGTACAATTTTATTTTTAAAAAATAAGAAAATTTATTCTCCTCTAAAAAATAACATTATTTTTTTTTTTCTGTAGCTCTTCATCAGTTCGTGCCGCCTTTCAATAAATAAAGTGGGCCCCGTAGAAGAGCCGCGGCATGTTGTGGTGCAACCGGTTTTAAGGCCGGCAGTTGCTGGAGTTGGTATAATTCAACCTGAGAATAGAGATCAGGGAATCGAACAGATTCAGCAAGCTGTTGATCACCACCTGGTTGCTCGTCCTGCCCAAATTGAACCTTTACTACCTGAATCAGATTCTGAAAATACCCCAAGTCCATCCCGTAGTCCCATGAGAAGAGGCAGAGGTTTACTGGAAAGGTAATCTCTTCAATTGGAATAGATTCCTTTAAATATCCTCTCACTAATTTCCGTATTATAGTTTTTACATGGTGTTTAAAATTATCCCTCTTCCTTGGAACACAATGATTCCCATCCTATTTTGATTTATTCCCCCCTAGTCTAATATTGCTTACTCCCCCTTCAGAAACACAAAACATATTTACAAAATTTATTTGGACTTATATTAATTCATAGCACATTTAAAAATGAAACATCAAAAGCATGTGCCAATGTTTCTTATATTAGCAAACTAGTTATTTAAACATTAGAAGCAATATTTGAAATATTAGGGAAAATATTGTATACTGGTGTGTTATTAGCATGCCTGCCAAGTCTCCTGTTTTGTAACGAAGACTCCTGTATTTTACTACTGTCTTCTGTTTAACTTGTTTTTTCAAATTTCTCCCTATTTTTTGCAGAAATCTTAAGATAGGGGTGCACAACCAGCAATCCGCCAACTGTTGATGTTCGACCCACGAGAGCTTCTGAACACATTATTTCTTTTCTTGAAAAATAAAAAAAGATTATGAATCTTTTTAATTTCTCTTCACAAAATATTGATTATTAATCTGTACTATAATAGTTTAGTTTTAATTTTTGCTTAAACCCTATAAATTTTCTTTAATTAAAATATTTCTTTCAAATTTATGTTACTTACCATTGAAATAAGTATGTATGTAGTTTATTTTGCACATTTATTATATGAGCTGTATAGTTTTTTTTTTTTTTTTTGTTAGAGTTTATAGTATCTCTTATCCTCAAATTCATGTAGATAGATAAATAAATCATTTATTAATAATTAAAGGCATTTAATTTTGTTACTAAGTTTACTGGTAAAAATATTTATTCTTCAGAGCACCAATTTTAAGAATTTGAATGAAGTGGCCCTTCACTCAAAAAAGTTTACTTTTACTGACTTTACTTTACTTTACTTTTTTTTTAGTGATAAATATCTACTAAAGGCAAAAATGCTTCTCTTATTCAGCAACAGATGGCGCTGTTGGCAGTACTGCCGTTCTAGCGCTGCCATGCCGACTCGACCAAACCGGGTGTAGTGAGATTGTGGTTGTGAGTCTTTTATTCAATAAATCGTTTTTCCTCGGATAACGAACTTTGTTTTTTACATACGGGAGTCTGGCAATAACTTTGTTTGCATTACATTTTTAACAATCATCAAAACATAAATGTATTTCTGTTTTCAGAATCATTTACTGGAGGAGACAATTGGGCAACGAGGAATTGAACTGTATAATAAAAAATAGTTCAGAAATATAGCGGATGTTATGTTATGTATCGTATATATTCCGTATAGCAATGACGAGCGCGAAAATTTTTTCTCTAAACTAAAAAAAAAAATTTGCAAATTTTGTTCCTTACTTTCTGATGCAAAACTTGAAAGCTTGCTTTTTATGAAGTAACTTCTCTGGTAACTGTTATGAACAGAAATTTGATAAAAATGTCCTTTGCGCAACCCAATCAGATGTTCAAAGTATTATTATGTAAAATAAAGCTAATCACTTAGAATTAGGAAAATTATTTTGATATGGAGTGTTTATAGTATATGAGTAATTATGAATAATCGTTTAAAAAATCTTTTTTAGATTGAGATTTATTTACATATTTTTTACTTCGCTAAATGTGCTTATATTATTTCCAATTTTGAATTTCTCTTTTTGACTTACATGGATATGCATGATGTATCAAAACTGTACACATTGCCCAAAAGATGCCGCTAGTGAAATCTCTGTTATTTTATCTCTCCAATGTTTTATTTAAGTATTTATTATCTGCCTAATTGGCAACACATCTTTATCAATATGGTTCAATCAATAATATAAACCTAATTAATGAAAAAGAAACTGAAGAAAGCTGAAAAGTGCTTCGTAGCATCAAGTATACCTTTCCCTTCATTTGGGAATAATTTTTATTTGTTAACATGTCTAACAAAAAAAAATTTCCTCTCTTTAGGCGTGGTTCAAATGCTTCATTAACACTTGATTTGAATCGTTCTCAAGAAAATATACACTGTGGAACTCCACCAAAAGAATGGTAAGTTGGTTCAATTCGTATGAATTTTAAATGCCTCCTGTTTCTAGACCTATTTAATCCAAGATAAATGAACATGAGTAAGAGATAGACTATTCATAAACATTCCTCTATTGATCTAGAAAGATCCTTAGAAGTTCATCTTAGAAGTTATAAGTGCTTACCTATTTTGGATTTACATATCTAGGGTTAACAATCCACACAATTAGGTTAACAATTTAGCGTTAACCTTGTTCATGTTCTATTTTAATAATATTCATTATGAGTTTTTCTAGCATCTTCTGTTTTTAAAAAAAAGCTTATACTGATATAAACTTTTTCTAGATAAAAGTGCAGGATGGCTATTACTGTGCTGTAAGAAATCGAAGCAAAATTTTTAAGCACTACTGAATTTTTAAAAAAAATTATATTTTGTCTATCGTAAGAACTCCCCAAAGTCTGATGCTATTTAAACAAGAATCGCTCATTTCAGGGAGGGTAGCTTCTCTTCACTCTAGAGCTAATACTGTAGACCGAAGAAAATGATATCCTCTCTCTCTCGCTGACCCGATATAAAACTTGTCCTAAACAATGACCCCCACTTGAAATAATTATACCTATTTAATGTCGAATATTTATTACAGTCACTGCCACAGGTTCAAATGAATGGCGAATTCTTACTTTAAACAAACTAGTTATAAATTAAATACTGGATTATCAAAATGTTGTTTCTTTTTTGTGTTGTATGTATGTGCGTGTTTGCATATATCATGGTATCCGGCACCTGGAAAGTCACGAAAATTCATGGAAAGTCATGAATTTCAGTATTGAACAAAAATTTCATGATTTTAACTATTTTTGAAAAAAATCCTGGAAAGTCATGGATTTAGGTCGCCTAAAAATCTCATTTTTAAAATGGAATCTCAATTTCATTGTGTTCCAGATATCTGAATTCCTAACAAAATCACTACTCACAGTCATATTTTATTCAAATATAAAATGTGTTTATCGTGTTCTTTAAAAATTATGGTGTTCTTTTAAAAAATGTAAGAAAAATCATCATTTGTCGAGTAAATTATCTTTTAAACTTCTGTGATTTAAGAATTTTTATTATTTATTTATTTTTTTATGCATTTAAATTTCAAACCAAAGCAAGCCAATCATTGGCGAATTATTTTTTTTTTTTTCGAAATGAGAACAGGCGAATAAGGAGTATTTCTTTCCTTTCTGATGAACAAGAAAAGTATCTTTAGAATATAGTTCTGCAGAAAAATAAGTGGAAAAAAAATTTGCTTTTGTATTTTTTTCCAGCTATTTTATTGCTTTAACTCTTTCTTTATTCTGTTTTTTAAATTTAAAATCTATAAATATGAAGATGCAGAGTCTTAACAGTTTGGTTTTAATTATCATTTCAATGAATGTTATTATAATGCCTTTTTAAATTTATTGTTACGTTTTTGTCGGAGAAAATAGTAACTTCTTTAAGTCATGAAAAAATCTTGGATTTAGTCATGAATTTGAAAATCTAAAATGTAGCAGATACCCTGTATATATTATTTATTTATTACAGCTCAGCTGAGGAATACCTACAGTCAGCAAGCAAAAGGCTCACCAGACGTCAACTGAGATCTGTTCTTAGAGATGTTAAAGCACTTCATACTGAATTTTGGGTGAATTTTCTAAAACATTCTTGATTGTCGCTTATATTTTTAAAGTCAATAAAATATTGAGAAAGTTAAAATGTATGTTCTTTTTTAGGAAATTCCCATGAATCATCCTGAGAAAGTAGAAGTTGCTGGTTCTGGTACTAAAAACCGATATAAAACTATATTGCCAAGTAAGAAAAAAAAATTTTAAATTTTAACATAAATACTTACTTTTTTATTGTATCTCCCTTAAATTGTTTGTTTAAAATACCCAATTTATGACTTAAGTTTGAATATTTTATACAGTCATTTTAGTTTTGTTGTTGATATTTAAATGCTGTTTTATTAAATTAAAAGTTTTTACATATTCATTAATTCTTTCAGTTTCAGAAGTTTTTTATTTAATCTTCAAAAAAAAATACTACTTAAATAGTATCTCATCATAATTTAATTTTTATTGGCAATATGCAATATAATTTTTATTGGCAAGCTTAAAGTGCAGAGTTTAAACTATTCATGGATATAACTTATTGTGCTTATATAATATAATTTATATATATATAACTCAATTTTTTCATGACCATCGAAATGCGGGGTAATACTATTCTGTTTAATTTTTAAAAATACATGCAACTAAGAGTGTGTTGGTTCTGTTTTGTTTGGCAAACTAGCCAAAATTATAGAGTAAAACTAGCGTTTTGACGCAGGACAACTACAAATAAAATATGGCCATTAAAAATATATTTATTAATTGCCAATTTTTTGCCTAAAAGCCATCACGTGTGCTCTCAGCTTTTTTATTACGAATGAAAGCTGTAAACCTCCTTGCCCAGAACGTTCATGTTATTTTTCACTAATTCAAAATTTCAAGGAGACAATTTTGTTATAAAATATTTTCTTAAGTTCCAGGTAAATTGATATATTTTTTTTTTTTAATTTATCTCTCTCTGATAATAATTAAAATCAATCTAATTAATGTAATTTTACTAGTGAATTTTTTTAGCTAGTGAATTTTATAATTGTTAATAAACAAATGTTTTGTTTTGCATAATTGGTTTAAAAACTAACCTTAATTTTTTTTGTAAAAAGGTTAAATATTACATTTAAATTTTGCATAACCTTTGTTATCTTAACTTTAAAATAACCAAATTTTAAATAATTGGAGAGTTCAGGAAAATTTTTCTTCATTTTATAAATGAACTTTGTAGTGCCTACCTTGTTTGAAGAAATGTTTCAAAAGAAATGCTTTAGAATAATATCAATAGTTTTAGATATTGCATTTTTGAAGAAAGAAAAAAATTACCAGTTTTAAAAGTTGCCTACTACTAACAGCAGGCCACTCTTAATTTTTCCTTATACAGTAGGGAACCGATTATCCGGAACGATCGGGACCATCGCTATTCCGGATAACTGATTTTTTCGGTTTTCTGAATCGCTACAAAAAGCCGTTTTTTTTTATTGTTAAACCCAACTAAAAAAAAAAGTATTTGGAACTAATCTTAAAAAGAAGAAAAAACGCTGAAGTAATACACTAATGATTATTTATAAAATGATGGTAAGGTAAACATCTTTCAAAAAAGAAAGAAAAATCCTAAAATCTTATGAGGGGGGGGAAAAAAATTTAAAAATGGCGGGAAAATTTTTTGAATCTCTTTCCGGTTTTCTGATTTCCGGATAACGGGTTCTGTACTGTACCTTACACCAATAACTTGCTTTTTTTTGTTGTTATTTCCTATAAAAATTATAGATAATCTAGATATTAAAAAAAGAAAACTTTTATATGTTCGTATTATTTAAAAATTCTAAACTTACAAAAGTCATTAATTTCTTTTTCAAAAAAATATATGCTTCATTTAGAATTAAATGGTTTAAAAAAATTTATATTAGAATAATTAGAATAAAATAGTTTAAATTTAATTAAATTAGAATAAAATAGTTTAAAAAATTTAAAATCAGCTCATATTATTTAGCATAATATAAATACCTGTAGAGTACTATTCTGTGAATATCAAAAATACTTCTTATTATTAACATAGTGTGATGTCAGCATGTACAATTTTACCTTATTTTAGTTTAATCATTTCACAAAGAAAAATTGGTTTATGAGCATTAATATTTATTGCACAAAAAATTTCTACTTGTCTAAAATAGTATACAGTTTTTAACAATTTTACTTTACTAATATTCTTTTTATGTTCCATTACTTTAATTATTTATTTACATTTATTATTATGTCATGTGTTAAGACTTTTTAATATATTTTCATAATCTATTTATAATATTTTAATTTCAGATGAAAATACCAGAGTAAGTTTATATGAAAGAAAGGATGATCCATTATCTAGTTATATTAATGCCAATTATGTTCGAGTGAGTCTATTTTTATTTATTTAGCTCCATTCATTCTGTTCTGACATTTTCTTTAAAAAGTTGTAAAGTCTAATATGGTCAATATTACAACTGCATAAAAAATCATTTATTATGAAATTGCATTTGGCGCTTCTGGAAACAAATAGTTACAAATAAATAGTAATTACTAGAGCCCGGATTTTGATGACCTAAAATATCTCAATAATGCCCTTAAAAAGTGCAAAAAAATGCCCTTNTTTATTTGTAGTGGCTATTTTTAAAAATATTTTCTACCTTTACCATATTTTTGTGTTGATTTTTTAATATAATTTTTAATTTTCACAAATTACTTTGAAATTTAACAAAATAGGTACCTCTCAAAAAAGCCTAGACAGACCCCTGCCTTCAGAAATTAGATGATAATTTCGCCAATTTTAAAAATTTGTAAGTGAAAAAATCTATGAAAAAGAGATAGAAATTAACGGTTTGCTATTTCGTGCTTAGGAACCTAGAAATTTGCTCCCCAAATTTTAAAATTGGATACCAATTTCTTCAGCTACTGAAAAGAAAACTATTAAGCCTGTTTCTTACTGCATTACAGACAATTCCAACTAAATTATTTGTTCAGGTGTTTGCTAATTTTTCCCTCAGACTGTATAACGTTATTGCTGCTGTAAAATTGAAGATGTTTTGAAAGTGCTTAGCAACCTAGAAATTTTCTCCTCAAATTTCAAAATCAGTAAAAATTTCATCAGTAGGTGGTGCTACTGACTAGAAAACTGTTAAGCAGTGTTTCTTACTGCATTCCGGACTATTCCAATAAATTGCAGGTGTTAGCTAATTTTTCCCTCAGACTTTATAACATTATTTGCTGCTGTAAAATGGCAGTTATTTTGAAAGCATTATATATATATTCTTTTTTTTTTGAATTAAAAACATATTTTTAATTTAGATGACTGTTGAAATTAAACTGCCTTTTTTTTAAAAATAAAGATACACAAAAAATTACATTTCGCAATGTTATTAGGCAAATGGGAATGTTACATTATTACTTAAAATAGGAAATAATCTAACTTTAAAATAACATCACTAAATTTAAAACTGTGCCTTTATCTGTATATTTAAGAAAATAAATAAACAAGACACATTTGTATGTGTATTAGTATACTTTTATTATAATAGAATATTATACTTTTAAATCTTCAATTAATTTTGCTTTCAGGGCTATGGTGGTGAAGTAAATGCATATATAGCTACTCAAGGCCCCTTGCCTCATACTGTAGATGATTTTTGGTTGATGATATGGAAAGAAAGGAGTCCCATCATTGTTATGATTACTAAACTGAAGGAAAAGCTAAAGGTAGTTCTTCCGTTAAAAAAATTTTCTGAGTGCAGAAACATTTAGCTTAGTAAGCGCTCACTAAACCTTTTTTTTTTTTTTTTTTTTTTTTTTTTTTTGTTATTTAGATATTTACATTATTGATTGGGGAAAAAAACACTTAGTAACACTAGAATTCAATAGCTTAAGAAAAAATTTTTATTCTTCATCATTTATCAGTTATTCATGAATCCTCTGGTCCATTTTGCTTTGGTTTAATAATATTTAACTTGTTTTTACAGTTTACTTGTTTTACAGCATGATAGATATATTTTCTTCAGAATTTAGTGTTATTTTCAACAGTAATTGGCAAATACTTTGTCCTATTGAACTAAACTAAAAGAGAATAAAGAAAAATTAAATTCATAAGAAACATGTAAATAATTGATGTAATGAGGTAACCGTAGTTTTGTCTTTTTAGCCTTTAAGCAAACTATTCGATATTTTTGTGGTTTTGTCCCGATGTTTAATCCAAGAGTTCTCTTGCCTTATGTATTGGATTCAAAATTGCTATGTACAGGGTATCCGCGCATCTGGAAAGTCTCAAAAAATCATGGAAAGTCATAAATTTTGGTATTGGACAAAATTTTTCATGAAATGTCATGATTTTAACTATTTTTTTAAGAAAATCATGGATTTGGGTCACTGAAAAATGTGATTTTTAAAATCGAATTTAAAAATAACACNACCCCCCCCCCCCCCCGATTTCATGGTATTCCGAATATCTGAATTTGTAATAAAATCCCCAGTCACATTTTATTTAAATATAAAATATTTCTACCATGTTCTTTAAAAATTATGGTGTTCTCTAAAAAAATGAATGAAAAAACATCTTTTCTAGAGCGAATTATCTTTTAAACTTCTGTGATTTCAGAATTTTCGTTATTATTCATTTTTTATTTTATCAATTTAAAATTCTAGCTGAAGCAAGCCAGTCATTGGAATTTTTTTTTAATTCCGAAATGAGAAAAGAAAAATCAGGAGTATTTCTTTCCTTTCGGATGAACAAGAAAAGTATCTTAAGAATATAATTCTGCAGAAAAAAATTATTTGCTTTTGTATTTTTTCAGCTATTTTAATTGCTTCAACTCTTTCCTTACTATCTGAATTTTTCTTTTTCTAAATTTAAAACCAATAAATATGAATATGCAGAGTATGACAGTTTTGGTTATACCTATCATTTCAATTTATATTATAATGGTTTTTTAAATTTCTTGCTGTGTTTTTATCGGAGAAAATAGTAACTTCGTTAAGTCATGAAAAATTCTAGGAATTAGTCATGGAAAGTCATAAATTTGAAAATCTAAAATTTAGCAGATAATGTATGTAAGATAATAATGATTTAGTGGTAAATCTGATATAGATTTGGCTGTTCGACGCAAGTGATGAAATAAAATTTGAAATAATAAATTTGTAGGCGAAACTTTGAACTCCACTTAGTATATACAAACCTTTTGACTCAACCTTATATGTAAGTTGTTTTTTCATGAATAAGTGAAACATGGGGAAATATTTCTTCAAATATTAGTTCTGGTTTGATTTTATGAAATGCTAAACTGACAAGCTATGTGTAGTTTTTATACAAAATACAAAAAAAAAACTTTTTACCAATTATATGGATACTTAATAGTAATCTGCGTACATGCTAAATTTATAAAATTTTATTTCAATTATAATGATAAAATATTCATGTTACGTTTCTATCTTTCAGGTAAAATGTGAACCTTATATACCAGATTATCAAGATAGGTTTGGAGATGTTGAAGTAACTGTCATAAGAGTCATACCTCGTGAAGGTTACACCATTAGAGAACTCTTTTTAAGAGTAAGTCGCATCATTTTCTAATGTACTTCTGTGGAGCTAGTTTTACTGGATCTCTCAAAAGTGAATTGGTTTCAAAAATAGATTGAAATGAAGTAGAAGGGGGGAAATTTTATTGTTTACTGCATTTTGCTTCAAGGGTATATTTACTGCCATTTAGCAGTACCTTCACAAATTCAACTTTAGGAAAAACGGTAGTTTCACAATTTAATTTTGAAAAAGCAAGTTCTCATACAAACCCTGTTCTCGTTGAAATCTATGGAAGAGAGTAGCTTTTCCGTTAGCTGCCTTTTACGAAAAGGTTGCCCATGTTTGGTCAGATAGTGCAATGTGATAAGTCTAACCAGTCGCTTTACGCCATATCAAAGTGAGCTTTTTTTGCTGAGTTTTTTTTAATGAAACAACGAGAACCCTAAATAATCAGAGAGTCGTAATTCAAACATTATTCTAAGCATTCGAATATTACCTTACGCACTATTGTAAATTTATTCTAACAGACCTTTATTTTTTATGAAATATTTTTTTCTCTGTGAAACTTTTTTCTGTTTGTTGTTCTCATAATGAAAATAACTTTTAGTGCTAGTACTGTTAAATGCATGTTTTTATTTAATTCAAGTTGAAATTTAATTATGGACAATGGTTTTTATGGATTTTAAATTTGGATACAATTTTAATCCCAAAATTTAACAACAGCAAAATTGTTTTTGAATATATGAGGGAAAATGTATAGAAATTTACGAGTAATAATATGATTAATAAATATATGATTTTTATTTGTAGTGGCAATTTTTAAAAATATTTTCTACCTTTACCATATTTTTGTGTTGATTTTTTAATATAATTTTTAATTTTCACAAATTACTTTGAAATTTAACAAAATAGGTACCTCTCAAAAAAGCCTAGACAGACCCCTGCCTTCAGAAATTAGATGATAATTTCGCCAATTTTAAAAATTTGTAAGTGAAAAAATCTATGAAAAAGAGATAGAAATTAACGGTTTGCTATTTCGTGCTTAGGAACCTAGAAATTTGCTCCCCAAATTTTAAAATTGGATACCAATTTCTTCAGCTACTGAAAAGAAAACTATTAAGCCTGTTTCTTACTGCATTACAGACAATTCCAACTAAATTATTTGTTCAGGTGTTTGCTAATTTTTCCCTCAGACTGTATAACGTTATTGCTGCTGTAAAATTGAAGATGTTTTGAAAGTGCTTAGCAACCTAGAAATTTTCTCCTCAAATTTCAAAATCAGTAAAAATTTCATCAGTAGGTGGTGCTACTGACTAGAAAACTGTTAAGCAGTGTTTCTTACTGCATTCCGGACTATTCCAATAAATTGCAGGTGTTAGCTAATTTTTCCCTCAGACTTTATAACATTATTTGCTGCTGTAAAATGGCAGTTATTTTGAAAGCATTATTTTATAATTTTACTTGGTAAGCAGCGCCATCTGTGTTTTGTTTTAACGTCTGTTTCTTCAAATTATTTATTAAAATTATTGGTCATTTTTGAAATCTCTAGTAGCAAAATAACATAAACTTTAACGCAGGGCAGCAAGTGCTTCAGATTATCCCAGAAAATGGGGGGGGGGTTACAGACAGAAAAATTCTACAACTGGCAAAAATTAAAGATAAAACGTAAAGGAAAATATTTTTCTATCTTCATTTACAGAAAACAAAAAATAGTTATGTCTTTTTTCTTTCTTTTTTTTAAAAAAAATTTTGATACACATAATTTTAATTTTTTCTGATTATTGTTTAATTTGTCTACAAAGTATTGTGATTATATGAATAGTAGTAGTATAGAGTTTTATTTGAAGAAACTTTTAATAAATCGAAATTCTTTTAATTTCCTTTTTTTAAAATGAAACGATTTTATTTTAACATTATTCTTTGCAAGTTTAACCTTTCTTTCTGATTTCGATATTAGGCTTAGCATGAGCATTTTATTTTGTTCTTTCTTTTTGGGGGTAAAGCTAAAATAGGATGGTATAAAGTTCAAATTAAATTTTAACAATAAGCTTTTTATTTATAACTTCATCATATTCTATTTATCATATATTCTATTATCATATCATCACATCATATTCAATTTCTATTTGTAGTGTGTCTACCACTACAAAATTACTATTTCCAATTCAATAGTATATAGGACATTTTAATTTGATTCTATGTTGGGGTACCTTTTCTTAGATATAGGTTGACATTGTCGATGTGACTCTTCCCACTTTGGAGACTCAGAGGTGATGTGACCACACCTTCCTTAGCAGAAACGCCCACTTCGATATGAACATGCCTACTTAGATGGATGGTCCACGTTGAACAGTTGACTTGTGACTGCGACATTGTCCATCTTCTCACTCTGTTGCTACTCAGTCTCAAAAAATCTCACCTGCTAATGGCAACACAGGAGTGACCATGAACGTGAATTTAATACAACTATCACAACCAGCTCTTAAAACAGAGTTCCCACGGGTCAGGGAAAACTTGGAATTGTCAGGGAATTTTATTTTTATTCTAAAAATCAGGGAAAGTTAAAAAACATTTTACAAAAATCTGGAATATTCCTATATCATACCTGAAAAATAACCAGTCTTAAAATTGTCAGTAACAGTAATCAGTTATATAGATTCCAGTTAAATAATTCTAACATCTATTGCAATTATATGTTGTGAAAATATCACATTGTAGTCAAACTGAAATGTTCCCTTCCTCATTTAATAATATTTTTTTACACTGAAAATCTAATATTTCACGTTTCAAATAAAAGAATCAGAGTTTTCTGATGAAAATATGGTCTCAATTTTCATTTAAATTTACCTAGAATACCTGGAAAAGTCAGGGAATTTTTTTCTTTCTGAAATTCAGTGGGAACCCTGTCAAAAGTACGGCTATCTTAATACTGCTCTCTCTACCTTAAACAAAACCAGTGTGTCTACCACTATAATATTCCAATTCAATAGTATATAATACATGTTAACTCGATTCTATGTTGGAGTAACTTTTCATAGATGAATGTTGACATTGTCTATGTGACTCTCCCCAAACTATTTTAAAATAAATCTCCTTCTCAAAAAAAAATGTATTTATTTGCAGAAGGGAAGTGAAACGCACACTGTTCATCATTTTTGGTACACCACTTGGCCTGATCATAAAACACCTGAAACAGCAAAGCAGTTGTTAGCAATGGCTCTTGAAGTGGAAGGTCTAAGGCGTGATAATTCTGGAGCGACTAAGGGACCCATGATCGTTCACTGCAGGTAATTTCATCTTCTTTGAAAAAATACTTTAATGTGCATAAAATCTTATTTTTGATTTTCCATAATTCTGTTTTCCATAATATGTAACATAAATTATAGCTAAAACAATTAGTGATTAATGAAATCAATATAAAAATAGATTTCTTTAGAGATAAAGGTTATTAGTCAGAATTTTTTTATATTTTCTAAATTCACCCCTTAACAATTGGTTAATTTTCAAGAAAACGGTCATAAAAGTGCCTATTTAGCCAAATACACATATTTGATTAGTACTGACATCTAGTTTAAAATAAACTATCTACAATTACCCTAAAAAGATCTTGGTACTGCCATCAGGTGTGTAAAATGAGAAGTAAAATGTTTTCTGGACAAAAGAAATGAATTAGTTTTATTCTTATTGGCGCGTTACTACTGAACACTCCAGCCCGGAAATTTCACGGGAGCGATAAATAGAGGGCGAAACCTCACCTTGTCATTTTCACAGGAGCGAGAAGATAGGTTTTTATTAAAAAAAATATTCACAAATCACTTTGTCCATAACTGACATTATAGACAACAGTAAAACCAACATAATGATGAACTGAGGCATAAGATTAATCTAAACATCTGTGATTTTGTTTTGTTTTTTATCATTTTGTAATTTTTTATTAAAATTTTGAGAAATTGAAAAATAATCATATAGCAAAAAATTTTCTATGTTAGTACTTTTCATAACCCATGAAAACTAATCTATATCAACTTTATATTCATAAATTAAAAAGGATTGAAGTCAAGTGCTGGAAATTAATGCTTTTCAATTTGACTTTCTGAGGTTATTTGCTAATTAATTTTTGTTAAGTTTTATTTTGGATTGGAGATTGAATGTTCTCTGGTTCAAAATTATGATGTATGGATGAATGAAGGGGTCGGCACTGTAAAATGGACTGTGACGTACGAGTGTGGCTGGAATCGTTTTCCTGACCAAAAATGGCGTCACTGAAAAACAAGAAGCATACTCTCTGTCTTAAATTTGCTTGGTTTACAAATCAGGCTTGCTGCCATTGGCAAGTGGCATTAGAAACAACATCAACAAATAAATGTAAATTTATTGTTTGGAATTAAAATTATTTAACTTTTTCAGTGCCGGAATAGGTAGAACTGGATGCTTTATTGCTGCTAGCATTGGTATACAACAGCTTTTGGAAGAAAATTCTGTAGATGTTCTCGGAATAGTTTGCTCATTAAGAATTGACAGGTAAGTAATAAAAGCATTTTATGTTTTCTCTTGAAGATTTGTAAGTTACGTGTATAAATTTATTACATTATTTTACATCATTATTTTTTTACATTCATTTACAACTGGCCAGGCAGTCAGAGTGCCTGACTTTGAATTCACGTGAATTTAAAATACAACATTGCTATTGGTAGTCGCACGGTTGTAATATCAAACATCGAAGCAAGATTTTTAAACAACGCATTGCGATTCGTATTCACACAATTTAAAAATTATGCATCATGATTCTTATTTGTGCATATTAAAACTTCAATATCACAATTTTTATTTTTGCATTTTTAAAATTCGATATCGCTATTTTAAAATCCGTTGCTGTGACTCTTCTAAGAAGTAAGTTGGTTTTTTCTTAAATTAGTTATAAAGGTGTAATATTCTTTATTAGTAGATAATTAAATTAAAAATGTTTGTTAAAAAATTTATGTCGAACATGAAATGTGAGGTTTGTAAATTGATGTCAATTTTTTTTTTTTTTTTATGATTAAAATTTTCTGAGATTTTTCACTTAGCCTTACAATTACCCCGAATTAGTATTTTAAATTACATCAGTATTTCGAGTTGAAAATACCAATGTGACTGCTCTTCCAGTGAATAACAACGATGAAATAACTCTGTTCCAAATTGGCCGATACATCAGCTCCAATGAAGCTGTTTGGCGTATCTTTGAATTCCCAATTCATGAACGGGATCCAACCGTTATTCATTTAGCCATCCATCTTGAAAACGGTCAGAGCGTATATTTCACGAATGAGACAGCGATTGACCGAGCTATAAGTCCAACAAAAACTGCACTCACCGAATTTTTTGAATTGTGTAATCGTGCAGATGCTTTTGGTGCCTTTGCAGGAACATTACTCTACTCAGAAGTACCACACTATTTCACATGGGCTCAAACAAAAAAAAATGGACACCCCGCAAACAAGGCACACCGGTTGATGCATGTCCCGGTTTATTCAAATCAAACGCCTTGGGGAGAGTATTTACAGTCAATCCAAGGCTGACTGAGTGCTTTTATTTTCTACTGTTGCTGGTTAATGTCACTGGCTCATTGTCATTTCAAGATATACGTAAAGTCGATGGACATCAGCATCCAACGTATAAAGCTGCATGTCTTGCACTCGGCTTGCTGGAAGACGACAACCAGTGGGAATATATGCTTGCTGAAGCAGCATTGAACTGTACTGCAAAGCAAATTCGTCTACTATTTGCTATAGTATTAACTACATGTTTCCGGCCCGTATAGAAACATTATGGGATAATCACAAAGATTCGATAACTGATGATATCAACATCGCACACGTTGCAATGATCTAACGATAGCATTCAGGGATGCTATGTACAATGAAGCACTGATTGCTATTGAGGATCTTCGTATTATTATTGCCAACTTGCCAGTCAGTCATTTCGGTAAGCCTTCGCCAAATCGAAGTGCATCTGATTTATTAAACACTGACATGAATCGTGAACTTCAGTACAATACAATAGAAATGGCAGCGATTGTTACTCGCAATGTTCTACTAATGAATGAGGAACAAAGGAACATTTATGACCGCATTATGCTCGCAGTTTCGGCAGGACAAGGTGGATTTTTTTTTTTTAATGCACCAGGTGGAACTGGCAAAACATTTATTATTTCGCTAATTTAAGCTGCCACTAAATATTCAAAACAACCCAGACGCAATGTGCAACATAAAAAAGCAATTGTTTATGGCCACAGTGTTGAAACACTGTAAAACAATCATCTTGGATGAATGCACTATGGCACACAAACATTCGCTTGAGGCGTTGAACAGGACATTGAAAGATGTGAAAAACGATGACAAATTATTTGGCGGCACTCTGTTACTCCTTTCAGGTGATTTCAGACAAACACTTAGCGTCATTTCGCATTCAACGTACGCTGATGAAATCAATGCTTGCTTGAAATCATCTCCACTGTGACGTAATGTTGAAAAGTTTAACTAAAAGTAAATATGCACTTCCAAATGCTTCAAGATCCATCTGCTGAAACATACTCAAAACAATTGTTAGATATCGGTGGTGGAAAAGTTACTATGGATGAGACTGGATGCATAAAATTACCGGACGATTTCTGCATAATCATTGATTCACAAGATGCTCTCATTAATCTAATATTTCCCGATGTACACACACAATACATTCATCATGAGTGGCTGGCAGAAAGGGGGATCTTAGCAACAAAAAATGTGGACGTCAACGAATTGAATCTGAAGATACAATAGTTATTACCAGGTAACTTGGTGACATATAAATCTGCTGATGCAGTTTGTGATCCCATTGAAGCTGCAAATTTTCCAACAGAGTTTTTAAACTAATTGGATTTACCAGGCATACCACCGCATAATTTAGTACTCAAAGTTGGATCTCTGGTTATTTTGCTTCGTAATTTGAACCCACCACAGCTGTGCAATGGCAAATTCCGGGGCGAAAGTATATTTCTTCTTTGAATCCCTATTATACCCACAGATGTGCCAATTCAATTTAAACGCATTCAGTTCCCCATTAGATTGGCATTTGCAATGATAAGGCCAAACACTGTCTGTTTGTGGCTTAGATTTGAGCAAACCATCCAGTTTATTTGTGTTAGCTAAAGATGGAATGACAAAAAATATTGTACATTCCATTGCATTAAGAGATTAATATTGTTGACTAATATTTTCAGAATTCGTTGTATATATAATTTTTTTAAAAAAAGTTCACATAAATTTAAAAAAATATTATTTAGTGTGTTGTTATTTTCACATTCCGTCATCGTTCACAGCGCTCCATGCCTCTTCCACTCATATACCACGTACGCACACANAGAATTCGTTGTATATATAATTTATAAAAAAAAAGTTTACATGAATTTAAAAATATATTATTTAGTGTGTTGTTATTTTCACATTCCGTCATCGTTCACAGCGCTCCATGCCTCTGCCACTCATATACCACGTATGCACACACTTACAATAAATAAGATATATTTTTATACTCTAGAAATAATTCATATGGCAAAACAACGTTTGCCGGATCAGCTAGTATATATATATTTAAAAACTTATTAGGAAACTACCGGAAATTCTGTTTCGTATTTTTTTCTTTTAACCCACTGAGGATTCCTCACGTAAAAAGTTGGAATGAACAAGAGGGTTCCTGAACGCGAAAGTTTTTGAAATGCATCATCAATGATTTTACTCAAGAAATTTTCAGGATTTTTTAATTGAGCTCACAATCACCCCTGCATTATTAAAATATGTTCAGCTGTTCCTTTTCTTCTCTAAGTTTTTCCAGGAATTAAAATTAGTATAGTTAGCCCAATATAGCTCACACAACAGTGCAGTAATTGTGTAATATAGCTCTCAGTATAAACATATATAATGTAACAACAATGTAATGTAGCTCACACAAGAGCACAGTAATTGTTATGTTTCCTCTTAATACATTGTGTATAATATGTACAGGGAAAACACAGGGAATTTTTTTTTCCAGATTTAAGTGACAGCCCTGATTGGGTAGTCTCAACAATTTAGTATGCACCATGGCAACCACTATTTCTTTTTTTTGACTATCACAACCATTATTTCATATTTTTTACTTTGATCTTCTTATATTGAGTAATAGGCACAAATGGATCATGTAATATTTATTGTTACTCTTAGGGGAGGGATGATACAGACAGCGGAGCAATACGAGTTTGTGCATCAGGCTCTTAGCATATTTGAGGTAACAATGCCCGGAGGAGATTGATAGAAGGAAAATGAGTTGATTTGATTTGTTATTTCAATGTATCGGAGTTGTGATTGATGTATTGTTTCAGTGTTCATGCTGATTGTTAAGTGTCTGTGGTTGTTAGGAACTGTGTTCCTGTTTGCTGGTGTCTGTTAATTGCTTAACATGTGGATCATGTTATGTAACGTCGCACATTGTTGCGTTGCTGAGAGGTTGTTACTTGTCCCATTTTGTTTGCATTGTTGTAACCTGTGTGATTGTTAAATGTGAAAATATTTATCATTGTTTGTTTTTTTAAAATCCTTGTGACAATGTTGGTATTATTAATTTTTGTTTTTCTGTGTATGTATCATGTTAATTTAGTTACATCATATAGAGAATTGATTTTTTTTCTTTTTTATTGGAATTTGGTGAATTTATTTATTCTTTAGTGTTAAACATTTATTTTGATGTTATTGGTCGTAATTCATTATTACTTTTTTTTAATTATCATGTATTGCGGATTAAAAAATATTTATTTTTTCATATAAGTATAGTGTTATTTTCTTTTTTTGTTATGTCATTTATAAACATAATAGTTAGGGTTATTTAGGGCTTTAAATTGTCCAATTATATTGTGTGAGGTTATTATATTTGTAGTTTATTTTAAAGGGTCTAAAATAGAGCTTAAATCATTTTCAATTTATATGCAAGAAATAAAATTTAGTATTCTTATTTTCTAGTAAGAAATGTTTTTGTTTTTAAAACGAACACTTTACTTACAGTGTTTCTCAAAAAATGCATGATAGGCAACAATTCTTTACTTAATTTCTATTAAAGATCAAAGAAAGTGAAAAAAAACAATGCAGTTAATATGTTGCAATTTTCTTACAACGAACTTCTTTTGAAATTTTTGTATTAGCAGCTCTTATTGAATGGATATATATGTTTTTCAATTTATTTCTTTTTTTTTCTCTAAAGAGTTATAGATTATTGTATAGAGTAATTATTTTTAGTAGAACACCTTCCTTTTCTCTCCCGTCAAAACAAGTTTTGCTCTCTATTTCTTGTGCTCGTGATATTTCTGGGCTCTAGTGTTCAAAAGTAACATGCTAATAAAATTATTATATTTATTTTGTATGCCCCTGAATCATATTTATTTCTCCATCTTTTCACCAGGTGGCAGTATCAGACTATTTGTAATTAGTCTGGAAATAGCTAGTTTATTTGTAACTAGATGTCAGCACTCATTAAACATGTAAGTTAAAAATTAGAAAAGAAAGCATATATTGTGTTTGCGCTTAGTTATATAATATTCTTCATTTTAAAAAAAGCACTTTTTTGTCTGTTTCTTCAAAATTATGTGACGATTAAGGGCACTATTCTTAGGAATGTTTTTTTCTTCCTTCTTTAGATAAGAGGTGCTTAACAATTTTAGTAAAAGGGTATAAAAAGAAAACACTTTTGGCTTTCTCATGCCAAGATAAATTTAGGATTTATATCAGTTTATAATACTACAATTATTCTTTTGCTTAATAAAAATATTAGCTGCTTGTTTAAAAAATTAAAATGCAAAGTATCTGTAAAATGTTTTCAAATTAAGACACCTCTCATATTTTATACACTCTGTCTTCTTTAATTTAAATAAATTATTATGAAGAAAAATTAGTTTTATTATTATAATTTATTTATTTTTGTTATGCATAAATTGCTTACATATTTAATCTAAATTGAATTTCTAATCTACATTTGTTTTGAATATTTTTTAGCAAGTACCCCTAAATTTTTCAGTTTTTATATTTAATTTGGGTGCGTTTTGCTAAGTTTATTGAAATTAATTTGAAACGAGTTTTAAAATTTTCATCTTACTTATGTAGCTTTTTTCTAATAATTTTTTATTTACAAGCAAGGGGTGACATTAACCAGTTAAGGGTTGTATTTGTCCCCTAGGCTACTGTATATTCTTTTATGCAAGTACACATTTCTTTTCCAAGGCAAATAAAATACTTAATAGTTAAAAAAAATTAAAATTATTTTGAAATACAGAAAATACTTTTTTAATTGACTTGAAACTGAAATATTTTTGACAACAAAAAAAAGCTACTGTAAAATAATCTTGAATTTCAATTCTTTTTAAAGTTCTTAACCTAACTTTCCTTTTATTTCTTTTTTGGCTCTTTTATGAAAAATACTTTTTTAAATTTAAATAAAACTGAAATGTTTTTGCTGCTATTTTAAAATAATCATGAATTTCCATCTTTATAAAATTCTTACCCTTACTCTCTCTCTCTCTCTTTTCTGTAAAGTTTTTAAAAATGAATCGATAGTTTGAAACTAAGGAACCTACTTTTTATTTCTTTTAAGCAAAGTTTTTGAGACCTAATGTATTCTTATTCTTATAAGAAAGACGGTGAGAAAAATACTATTAGCTAATGCATATTTAATGCTACATATTTTTATAACTCATATAATGACTTCACAAAATCACATATTTAGTACTTGCTAATGTGCCAGTGTTTATACTAGCAATTTTTTAGCTAATAGTAAATTCAAACTTTTTATCTTATTTGTTTATTTTAGAATTTCACATGTATCTATCTTTTCATGCATAGTTTTTAGATAAATTTCCATGCATTTTTTTTTATTACATGAAGCATTTTCTGCTACATTAGTTAAATTGCAAAAATTTCTCATTTCTGGGATAACATTGTGTATTTAAAGTGGTATGAAATCATTTAATATTGTATGTCTTAACTTGTGAACAGTTTAAGGTAGTATTTGAACATTTATGTTCCATCATGTTAGGTTTTTTAAACAGTTTTTCAATAATTGTGTATTATATAAAAAATCTTCTAATAGTTTAAGCATAATATATGTTTTTAAAAATTTCATGCTTTGTTAATTTAAATTGTGTGCCAATTTTATTACTTTTTAGTCCATTTCTTTAAATGAGAAGTTGACTCTTTATTGCTCATTTTTTTCCTAATCAGCAAAATCTAACATTCAACTAATAGTTCATTAAAGTTTTCAACCATGTTTATTTATACTACAACTCATTTTAACTGCTATTCAACCTTATGATGTACTGAATTTGTACTATTAAATTTAATTATACCAATTTTAAAACTGTATTCTTTCTTTGAAAAAAAAATTAAGTACCTAGTTGTTTGTAAATAATGATCTGTGCCTCATTGTATAAAACTAATTCATTTGTAGAAACTGTACATATTCTTTCTGGAAATTATGCATTTTAAAGTTTTTTAGAAATCACGCACGAAAGCTGTATTTTTACTAGATAATGAAGTTTAAGGTACATAACTGCATATTTTAAATCCGATTGGTTATTCTAAAAAAATTTTATAAAGAACTTTGGCTAAGCCCTTTTAATTAATACAAATGCATCAAATGTCATGCTTACATTTATTGTTTCGAAATTCAAATGATTGAGTTTGGATTGAAAATGAGGCAATATAAAAATGCCAGTAAATTATACTGTATCATCTTTAATTCTACATACAGTGTCATTGAAAACAAAGGAGCAAATTTCATATATGGCAATCGGTGCATGATATTTTATGTGAGATTGTGTTAGAAATCAATGACCAGCAATCAACGCATCAAATTAATTTAGACAATTCCTCTTTGTGCTGCCTATTGCCATCGTTTGGAATCTGCTTCTTTTTATTTTGAATGATTGTTATTTCACATACCCCTGTATTTTTTGTGGTATTTGTTTTTGAATTTAGATTTTCATTGTATTTTAGATTCATTTCTGTCATAAGCTATATAGTACTCAGGGTTGCCACTCCACAGGAAAAACTTGGAAAATGCAGGGAATTTTAGTAGATGGGTACTTTATTTACGTTGCACTAAAGCTGCACAATGTGCTATTGGCGACGTTCTGAGAAACATCCCTGATCCGAAGACGTGCCATCGCAATTTTGATCCTCTGCAGAGGGGTGGCTTCTCTGCTACGGTAGTCTGGCGATCTGCACACGAAGTCAAGCACTTTGCTGTAGAACAGTTTAACGAGGACCAATACCACTCACCCTTGGTCCCTATGCAGGCTGGTCGACCACCCGCTTACTGGGCTCAGCCTGTGATGCTTGACTTCAGTGTTTTACTCGGATTCGTGTCTTTACGAACAGTCCACTGCGGGACACAGGAAATTTAAAAATAATCTAGAATAACAGGGAATTTTGAATTTCTCCTTACAAACTGGGAAAATACAGGGATTATTCGTCTTTTAAAAACAAACCTATACACCCTGGGAAATACAGGGAATTTAAAATCACCTAAAATAATAAATATAATCACCTAAAATAACAAACTGGGAAAATAAAGGGAATTTTGTTTCGTATTTTTGTCTTTTAAAAAATGGTGACCAATCAAAGTGTAATCTATGGGATATTTAAAGATGATAGTTCAGCTATATTAAATTATTTAATTTCTAACAGCATTATTTCTTTAATGTTGAGCTGTTCCTTATTTCCCTAAGTTTTTCCAGCAATTAAACTAGCATCGATATTCCTAGTATAGCACACAAGAGCACTGTGATTGTGTTTTTTCTCATAATATATTGTGTATGTTATGTGCAGGGGAAAAACAGGGCAATCCTGATACTATATTAAGTGATCATTTACATGTACAAATTCTTAATTTAAGATTTATAAATTAGTTTGTGTGGTAATATAAAAGCCTTTTATATGTTATGTTGGTGCCAAATTACTTAATATTAATGTTGTGGAATGGATGTCATAATATAATGTTATCTTCTAAGACGAGAAAACTTATATTTATTTTTAATCATTTTGTTTGTTTCTGGTATTCATTGTAAAAGTGCCATATCTTCATGTCTATATGTTATGAACCTCAAATATCTTGTATTGTTTGGTTATTTATTGATGTTTTAAAAGTTGTGAAAGACAAATTTATAATTTCATTACTAATAAATATCTGATTTTTAAAAAAAAATTTCTCAGTCTAAAATATTGCAATTCTATAATGCTTTTAGTATTTTAAGCACTTAAAGTTTTACTCACGTTTTTACAATTATTGTAGCTTGAACACATCGGTAGACAAATTGTTTTGAATTTGTTAACATCATAATAATCGCAAATTTGGGTACTTATCAGTTTGGAGATCATGTGTTGGCGACTGCTTTTCGAGTTGTTGACAACACAAACATTGGCCCCTATAACTGATAAGGATGTATTTTTAATATAATGGTGTATTGTCAAAAATATTGATATTTAATAATTTATTACTGTATTGTATTTAACTAATTTATATTATTTTTACATTGTCATTATTTTCATTACCAAATAAAATTTATTAATACTACTCATAATTTGTTATTATTAGTGTTAATATTTGATAATTATTGTTATTTATGCATTTTGATGTTTTATGTTGACAATATCATCCTCTTCGATATTTAGTTATCTATAATAATTTCAATATTATTGTATTTGGCATATATTGGTGGCGTTAATATTTGAGATACTGTTGTATTTAGTTCACCTATATGTATTATTGGTTAATTTGCATAAACCAAAATCTGGCGTCACTCCTAGTTCATGTTGGCAAACTTGGCTCCATTGTCATTGATAACGGATAAGTACTCAAATTTGTATTCTATTTGTTATGAAAATGTGTCTATCATTGTTTTTAAAAGAAAAAAAACGATTTTTAATGTCAATTTACTGCTTTCATGTTTAAAGTTTGTTTTATAAAAGAATAATTACATTTTTAAATTTTATTCTCATGAAACTGAGATACATAAAAAGATATAAAAATGTTGGTAGATGTTATATTGTTCCATTAAGCATAACTTTATGAACACCAAGTATTTAATAGTGTGCACTCAAGAATTGTATTTTAATCAACGTGTCTCTAATCATCTATCTATTTCTGTCCAAATTTTTTTTTTTTTTTTTTGCAGATTANATTTATTTTTTTTTTTTTTTTAAATTCTTTTACTAAATGTTAGTTTAGCCAAAGTTTATAAGTTATGATTGCCAAATAATGTGTTTATTTATATTCCGTTTCTATGTGTTTAAGTTTAAAAATGAATTCATGCTGTCTTATTGAGTATGCATATTTTTTACTGGGGCTGCATAATGTCACTAAATTAGAAAGTGCATTTATACTGTCTTATTGAGTATGCATATTTTTTACTTGGGCTGTATGATGTCACTGGGTCTAAATATGCATTTAAGCCGTCACTGATTCTGTGAGTGCATTTATGCTATTTTATTGAGTGCACTTATA